CTAAATACGAGACTAATATTTTATGATACAATCAAGTATCAAAAGGCGACGATATTTTTAAAGGTTTTATTAATTTTATATTAAAAGAGATAAGTTATCTGATATTATTAAGATAAATTTATGAGTTTCATCACTTGAAAAAAAAAATTAAAAAAAAAGATAGCGCAGTCATCGAAAAATATGTAGGAGAAAAAACTTATATCATATAACATGAGAATAGTTTTTTCCTATTTTTAACAGTAAGTTTTAAGACTTAATACTTGTTTTAATAATTCAACTATTCTTTACTCGAACTAATATAAGCATGTAATTCATCGACAATCAATAATATTATTACTTATAAACAACTCACTAATAAATACATAAAGGAAATTGAACTCGAAAATTTGTACTAATCATTTTCAATCATGTCACTTAGTCTATTTTCGTTGACACCATGATATGTTCTTCCCGGTAATTATTGGCCATTTTGAATTTTGTTTCCAGCAATGGCATTCTGATGTTTAAATTATGGCTTCTCTTTTTTCATGTTATATAAAGTAGTACTTTTTATGGGCTTTTTCACCCTTTTGCCCCTTATTAATTAATTAATAACTATTTTGCCCCTGATTTGAAACTATCTACTAATCTGCCCCTCTTTAATCGACTACCTTGCATTTTTAATCGACTAAACGGTTGTTGGGAGATTTAATCGACTAAATCTCTCTACTTAATCGATTAAAATCATACTGACTTATTTTTTTTTTGTAAAATATGAAGATTTAGTCGACTAAATAGGGAGATTTAGTCGACTAAATCTCCCAGCAGCCATTTTTTGTCTGTTTTAGTCATTTAGTCGATTAAAAATGCAAGGTAGTCGACTAAAGAGGGACAGATTGATAAATAGTTTCGAATCAGGGGCAAAATGATTATTAATTAATTAATAAGGGGTAAAAAGGTGAAAAAACCACTTTTTATGTCATATATACAATAAATGATACGATTCACATCTTGTTAAAAAAATAAAAAAGAGGATATCACGAATTTTGATATTTCACAGTATGAGAAAACAATCTTCAAAAATATAAAAAAATTATTTCCCTTAAGTAATATCTTTCAAGCTCTAATTTTTAACTATAAATTTTATTATATGTAAAAGATTAAAAGATATGAGTGTTAATACAAAAATAAAAAATCTACTTTGAGATAGAAAAAAGCATAATAGATTAAAATGATTGGATACAAAATGTTTATATTTATAGAAAGTTTTAAGAAAATGAAAAATGGAAACATGTTGTGGATGAACATCATCGCCATGCGAATGTGATTCTGCCATTTGACCCGGATGCACTTTCCATATATAGAGCCAAAAAACAAATAAATTGAAGGGGTAAAATTATCACCTAAATATTTTTATTAAAAAGATGACAACTATTTATATCACAAAAAAAAAATTCGTAATAACTAAAGACTTATTTAAGAAAATATGTATATCAAGTTGTATGAGACGAAATTATCTCATATAATATATAAAAAATAGGGCAAGTTATATTTACAAACTACGCTATCTTCTCCCGGAAGAACACTAGGTTTCACTATGTTCTCCTGGAGAAAGATAGTGTAATTTGTAAAAATTTGTCAAAAAAATTTGTAAACGGATCATTCTCCATGAAACATAGATGATATTCTTTTTTTTTTCCTTTCTATTTTTTTAATGTATTTTATCTTTTTTATTTATATGTTGTATGAGACAAATTATTTTATACAATATATAAAAACATATTTTCCCTTGTTTTGTGTTGACAAAAAAATCAAATATAATCCCTCCTTATCTCTAGCAGTGTATCAGATAAGATTAGATCTGTGTTATCGTATTTGGCAGTCTCGGCCCATTATCGTGCGTCTATTTTCCACTTTCACCAGGTGTTTTAGTTTCCTCCAACTGAGAGTAGTAACACGATGTCCATTTAGGTTGTGCATAACATATTTTGATTTTGATTTTCCTAGTCTAAGAAATAAAATTGGTTAAAAATAATATTTATGATTTATTTTTTTTATCTCGAATAACGAGCTGATGTTAATTAACACAAACTGAAAGAAATTAGAAACAAATTTTTTCATAAGCATATAATATAAAGTATGTTAAGATATAAGATTTTTTCTAGTCACTTCTTATAACTACGTACTGTTGTTGTGGGAAGTATTTTTTTCGGATCTGGATCCTTTAATATGAAAATTCACATGACTATGTAATGTGGAGAATCATAACCATACAAAAGTGGATCAATAGTAAAAAAAGAGGAGAAAAAAAAATGATAAAATAAGTAGTTACGAAATCATAACCGTTGATTTACCTTTGTATGATTGTGATCTTCCCACATGACCTTATCATGTTTTTTTTTGACACATTAAAGAATCCATTTCCACTTTTTTCTCTCTTGGTTTCAACTGATGATAATTTTTTTAATATTATAATAATATATTTTTCGGAGTACATAATTATAAGTTAGTGACTCTATAAAACTTTATATTCAGTCACATAATAAATAATATTGCCTAATATTTATTAAATATATATTATCTCTTAACGATAATATAATTTAATTATATTATTTTAAAAAAAAAATCTGTATAAAAATAAAGTCAAAAAACATTACGATTGTCGTGCACAACCTGAGTTTTGGGGTTGCACACTTGCACCGTCCACATATTTAAAAATTAAAGTAAATAAAAGATTTAAAAATATCACTTTTATTAGTAATTTAAGTGAAAATGGATTAAAATATTTATAAATATAACTGATATAGTTTAAATATATTTAAGCAACTTTAAAAATTCTTATAATTTTATAAAAAAATTGAACAATTATATATATCTGATTTTTTTCTAATAAATCATATTTTTATTGTTTTTAAATAAGTCTTTATCAGTTAACCGGATTTAAATATTTATAATCATTGTATATTTTTTGTTTTGGACATGTTATTATAATTTTTCATGATATATAAGAACTTTATTAAAAAATTTGTTGAATTAGAAAGATTTATTTTTATAGTTACATAATAATTAATTTATCTTTTGAAAGTTAAAACCAAATGTTTTATAATTTATAATAGGTGTTTGCAAATGAAACAAATTATAAAATGTTCGAATGAACAATTTCATTTTTATATATTTGATTACAATAACTATGCTTAATGCTTGGTACGTAACCTTGTTTAAATGATTTTTTATTTAATTTATATGTCGGTTAATAAGAAACTCAACTAATTTAATTTAAATAATGTTAAATTTTACAAATATATTTATCTTAATAAGGCTTATCATTTCTCAAGCTACTTGAGATAATTTTATCTCCGGCTACTAAATTATAACCGTACAAAGATAGATCAATGGTGATAAAGGAAGAGAGAAAAATGAAATCATAACCATTCAAAGGTAAATCAATTAATATAAGAAAATAAATAAACAAAACGACCTAGTTTTGGAGAGACCAGATATAAACTTATTTCAAGTTGGCCGAAAAAAAAATTTCCCATCTTAAAATTTTTATTTTCGTTTCAAAAGTTCAAATTTGAAACTTCTATTTCCTTGTTAGTTAAACGTTCCCTGGTAAATTCCCTTTTTAACTACTGATGGCCACTTCATTGCTTATTTTTTTGATACAAGTGAATAGCTGAATCATGTTAAGATCCCACATTTCAAAAAATTTGTGTCGTGTCTGATACACTCTGATACTCTAACATATATTGTAGAGACTCAAAAAATAATTCAAAAGTTACGTTGCGTTACATTTTTTGTTCCAACTACTATAATCGTTTGATTACAATTATTATTTTATTGAGTTTAATATAAATATCTAGGATGTCTTATCTTTTCGCAAAATCGGTATTATAAGTTTGGAGATGTTATAGTTACTTTATCTTTTTGTTAGTACTTGTTACTACAAAATCATAACCGTTGATTTTCGTCAATCTAACTGTTATAATTTATTGGGTCATACTTATTAATTAATTATTAATTTTTAATAAATTATAACCGTTAGATTGACGAAAAACAATGGTTACGATTTAGTAGTAACAAGTAGTAACAAAAAGAGGTAATAACTATAACATTCTCCTTATAAGTTTAGTTTCATTTTTTTGCTAAACTATTGAATATTAAAATATAATATACACAATATAAATTAAAAATATTATTTAATATCAAAATATGTCTTAACTTGTCAAAATGTCGTATTGTGTCGTATCTTATGTCAAGTATCAGTGTGACATAGCTGAATCTACACTTTCCTCGAGTAATATTTTTGCTCTTGCGATTGGATGATATTACTTATACAATTCACATGATAGTGTTTTAGGGGGTGTTTGGTAGGGGAGAATTTTTTTTTATCCGAGAATTTCAATTTTTAAAAATATAATTTTTACATTCAGTTTACGATAATATCTAAAATTAAAATTTTAGAAAAATTCAATTTTCCGGGAATCCCTAGAAATTCCACGTACCAAAGGGGCCCAAGGAATTTCTAAGAATTAATTCGTTGTAAGATTTAGCCTTTCTATAGTAAATTCTATGATACGAATCTAATTTGTGTTGTATATTATTTTCATGAATTTAATGCATTACATTAAAAAGTATATAAAGATTTTCTTACTATCTCTGGAAAAAAAATAAAAAATTGCCATATATATTTGGAGAATAGTTTTTTTATATTATATAAGATAATTTTATTTCATATATACACATAAAAATAGATATGATCTTTTTTTTTTCTTTATTGGAAATGTATTTCCCATGATTATTATTGCCATATATATATATATAAAATATGATAATTTAATTTGTATACTTTTTGTTGTTGACTTTTTTCTTCTATCCAGTACCTTGTTTTTGTTGACTATTTTTGTTGTTGACTTAATTAATTAGTTATTGTTGACTTTTTGCTGCAGCTGGTATTTTTACTAATAAAACCACAGCAGATCTTATTTATTATTATCGCTTACATACGAAGGAATTAATTAATTAACAAATCAAGAAAACAGAGTCCACAACTCCAATCCAGCATAATAGCATATGCTTGGGCAGTAGAGCTTTGGAGTGAGAAAGTAAATTGAAGGATGTTGCAGAAACCAAAGCACGCGATCGGGATAGTGGTACTACAATTACTTGTGTTGCAGTTTTTAGTTTTCTTCACAGCTGATGCAGATTACATACCACCTTCAAGATTGACCGGGTTCCCGTACAAGAATCGGTCCTTCGATTTCGACACGATTTTGATCGAAGCGTTCTATGATCCATTGTGTCCAGACAGCAGGGATTCGTGGCCCCCACTCAAACAAGCTCTCCAACACTACGGTTCTCGAGTTTCACTTGTCGTTCACCTCCTCCCTTTACCGTAAGTCACACCTAATTTACATGCTGATGCTCTCATTTTGTTTCTTCTCATTTCTCACAGAATCTATTTTTCCTTTAATCAAGAATTTCTTATTTTGGGTTTTTTTTTTTTTTTAATTTTTTGGCATGATGGGAATTATCTCCGATATATATAACATGTGGGTGTGTGGGTCCATTAAAAGAGACAAATAAAATATAGAACACTCATTTTTGCGTGTGTGTAAAAATATCTATTAAAACACTAATCTCTTGTTTTATAAGCTATTTTGCAAAATTCTCTGCGTTAGTTATATGCTAGGTAATTTATCATGCGGCTTGTTCTTGTCTTGGAGTGGGTGTTAGGCTTCTTTTCGCATATGTTGTCTTATTCTTGAATGGAAAACTCTTTTAAGCCCTTGAAATCCAAAGGAATGCCTCGTCTTTTGATTTGATGAATCATATAATCTTGTTGAATTCTGAAATTCAGGGAAGATAAAAAGGAAGTGTGCTAGACAGCATTTTTGACATAATTGTACCATGACCTCAATTGTTATTCCATACATGTGATGTATTGAAATTATTTTTCTTCATTCTGGAAATCGCAGTTACCATGACAATGCTTTTGTTGCATCTCGTGCTCTGCACATTGTGAACACATTGAATACATCTGCAACATTCCCCTTGCTGGAGTGGTTCTTCGAGCATCAGGTTAATATTTCCAGTTTCAAAATCGATTTGTATTTGCTGTATTGGTTGAATACGGTACACATTGACTTGAGGCTTTCGCCATTGTGAAATTGGATGTGAGATTTGCTTTAGAGTTATACTGATTCAAAAATATGTTTTCCGTTTTCATTGTGCTTCAAATCTGCTGAGATTTTCACGGTATTCTTGTAGTGAACTTTTAGCTGTTCTCAGTTCTTTTCCGCTCCTCATTGTTGGTTGTCCTTTTTTGTTGTACTTTTACACTCAAGTCTCATGTTAGTTATTATTGAGTCATTTGGTGGTCTGTGGACCAAAGACCCGAGCTTGAGTCTGTCTTTTTCGTGCACACACACTCAGAGACTGCACAATTAATGCCATTAATATACTGTGTTAAACTTTTTTATGCATTCTGTTTGGATTGATCCCCGACAACTGAAAATTGCAATCTCTTGGTTTTTATTCCCCTGGTTTTATTATATTCAAAGCAAGAATGATGAGAATTTTTTTTTGACACTCCTGCTTCAGCAAGGAAACTTTTCATCGTGTTAAATTAGGGAACTCTTGATTGAATCTCCAAATTGTTGGAGTGGTTCTTTAGAATTTCCTCTCCACTTTTGTGCAGAAACATGTCTTAATATAACTCATGCGAGTCTGCGACCATTCCTGTTATAAATATATAAGGAAAGGCAACATGGCTACTTGAAAGTCATGTATCTCTGGGTAAAAGTTGCTTACGTTGATGTCACAATGATTTGTATCTTCCGTGTTGTATTGTACTCAAGAAATAAATGTTGCATCTAGGTTGCAATCTTTCTGTAGGAAAAGTTGTACAAGTTTCTTTGCTCACCGGATCTGGTGCATACTATTTAACAGGAGAAATTCGATAATGCTCAAACACTGAACTCATCTAGAGCTTCTATAACAGATGAGATAATAAAGTCTGCAACAGAAGTAGTTGGGAGCTCTTATTGTAATGCCGTTAATGATGGCTTCAGTGACGGAAAAACTGATGTTCAAACCAGAGTTTCTTTTAAGGTAAGGCAAAATCTTTTTAGGTGGCTTCAGATTGACTCCATTTATTAGAAGATATGAATGGATTTGAAATTTGTATTCGAAATTATTATTTTTATATCATGATTCTTTGATTTAAGACTTGAAGAAGCACATAAATAAAACTCGCCTTTCAATCAAATGCATTTTTCATGTTTGATTAATTTTAAGTTTTTATGAAAATGCAGTATGCTACATTGAGAGGGGTGTATGGAACGCCTTTTTTCTATGTCAACGGATTTTTATTGCCTGGTTCTGGAGCTGCTATTGACTACAATACATGGATGAAGGTCATTGACCCTTTGATCGCTGCCAATAAGAGCATAAAAGAGAAAGGAATCCCTTCACTTGTGAAAAATGCAGGTCTATGAAGTTTAGTTGCATTAGCACTTAACCTGTAAAGGAACCAAAATAATGTCTATGCTTACTGATAGGTGCCAATGCCTATAATGGAAATAAATTTAATATAAACGTTCCTTTATATTTATACGTGGGTTGGATATATTGGTCATTTAAACGTTCCTTTGTCCGCCCCTATTAGCGAGAACGGGGTGATGATGCGGTGAGCAAGTAGGGAAAAATATGACTAACTATCTCAAGAAATTATAATATCAAGTATCAATTTACATGGTTAATTATTATTGGGATTTACAAGTAAGATTCAAGAGTTCTATAAAAATAAGATAAAGGGTGAAAATGAATTTTATTTTTACCGAAAGGATTTAGATGACAAACGCACGCTAGAGTCCGTTCATTCGATCAAAGCTCGTTCCCCTACTACAGGGGACATTTCTAGTTGTGTGTTACAGACAAGCGGATAGGTTTCAACTTGTAAAATGAATATTCAATGTACTGATTTTATTGCATGTTGCAACTTTTTTATAAATGAAAAAAGTTGAGGAAAAGAGAATTGCATATTTAATATCATGGAATGAGTAGATATTGTATACTACAAATTGCATTCTTCCAATGATCGTGTTGGGGGTCGTGGTGGCAGAGGAAAGGGAAAGGCCGGAGGTATGTCTTGTATTGCTTTCACATGATTGAGTCCGGTGCATGTTTTCATGCCTAAAGCTAATAACGCTTGTTGTGTATTTGTTGTCTCTGGATACCTTAATTTGAGTCCATATGTATTTTCCTCATGTGCCTTCTGCATTGTGCATCTGAAGATAAATGCTATTATATATGGTATTGATCACCTATGAGAAAGCTTTGGTGTAGGGTTTGGCAGATCTGTAAATACACTCATCAGGTTCTAATTTTTATAATACGTTATGTTTGCTAATTCTACTTACTAATCTCTACAGGTTGATATAGTGATGGTGCTATTTTTCTTTTGATATAATTGTTGTTGTTTTTCTTCAGGGAATGGCTTTATTTTCAGCTGATTATGAGGACGATGGAGGTTGGGATCGCAATAGCGGAATTGTTAGGACAGGGGTAGAGGCAGTCTATTATATAAAATTTACTTGAAGTTAATTTGATTGTACATATTCAATCTTTGTGTCACGTATAATGTTCTGACTAGTTAAATGCTCTCAGAATATTTATGAATTCTTGTTGCGATTGAATTAGATGCATGTTTGAGCTGGCTAGCATGATTACTTTATTAGGCTATCGGCTTTACTCTAACGAGGTACATAATGGTTTACCCCTACCGCTCTGGTTACATCCAAGAATACAAAAACGTAGTACAGAAAATTTAAAAGTTAGAAAACAAGTTTCTAAGCATATTTATTTAATCTAGTATGATTAATATCATTAATGTTTCATTTATTTATCGTTCTAGTAAAAGAATATTTAAAATAATAATAATGATAAAAAAACCAATATGAAATTTTTTTTATAACAAATCATTGCCCCTTAACAACCAATACCTACAAAAAAAATAAAAATAAAAATAATAATAATAAATCTATTTTCATAACTTTTTGGCAATGTTGTATTGCGTATTTGACGAGTAAAACCCACTCACATTTTTCATGTCCAACCATAAATATTATTTCGTTTGTTTTTTTTTCTAAAAAAGATTAATTTTTGCAAATTATCGATGAAAAAATTACATCGTCATTTAGCAGTAATTTAATGAGTTTATTAGTACATAGGTTGTTAAATTTATTAAACTATAACACAATACTAATTAAGTAAAAACGTAATTATATCAAAAATGGGAATAACATCTATCATTTTAAAAGATGTAAACTTATATCCTTTTAGATTCTTACCGTTGATTTTCGTCCATCAACGGTTATAATTTATTGGATTAAAATTATTAATTAATTAATAATAAATTTAGACCATTAAGTTTAACCCAATAAATTATAACCGTTGATGGACAGAAATCAATGGTTAAGATATAAAAGAATATAAGTTTACATCATTTAGAAGGATATATGTTTTTCCCATCAAAAAATATATAAAAACTTATTCCAATTAAAGTAACAGAAGGTTACGTAAACAAAAAGAAAAAAAAAAGTGCATTTTCAAGATATCTTTATAAACCTCGATAAACAAAATGATATCGCCAATTAACAAGAATGATAAAGGAAAAATATCTCATATTATTGAAATGGGAAATGAGTAAAAACTATATTAATAAAGAGGATGATTGATTAATTATATCATTAATAGATGTTGATAATGATAATATTAATTTTGATGATTGATGAGTAAGAGAATAATTGATTTGTATTTTTCTTAATGATTTGCACTTTAGTTACTCATCTATTTAAATTATTGGATCCTTTTTTAACTTTAAATTCATATGATATTAAATATATTATATATTTTAAATTATTTATTTATATTTTTATATCTTATGATACACTACAATTCACGATATATAATAAAAAATGGCCAAATTATAGAGGAAGGATCCGTTTATAATTTTTTTTTTTTATAAACTTACAAATTACATTATATCTGATCGGTAATACTCTACTCAATGATATATTGCCGATTAAACATAATATACTTTATATAAATTTATAAACAAAAAATTTATAAATATAAACTTTCCCCAACTACGTTTTATACTTATTAGTTATTTCAATTATGACATAATCAATTTGGATATCTTTATTATTGACTTTTTTCCTTCCATCCAGTGCCTTGTTTTTGTCTGAAAGCCTTAAGGACGTGTTTGATATAAGTTTTATTTTGAGTTTGACGGGGAACTCAAAGTGGATATTGAGAAATATCATATTTGGTACAAGTTTGCAAAAAAAAAAAACGGAGATTAGAAAGTATAGGAAACTCTTTTTGTGTTGATTTTTACTATTTCAAAAATCCGTTTGAGATATCGTATTTTGAGATAGATGAAGAAGTGAAAAAATGATGAAAAAGTTATGGACCAAATTGACCCTCATAGTAAGTGACTTCACTTCCACAAAAAATTTATAATGGAGGTATTTTCGTCAATTTAACCTTTTTTCCTATTATTATTTTACATTTAACCAAATATAGACTTTGCAAATTTAAATAGATTTTTTCAGTAATATTTTGGTCAACCAAACAACTTTTTTTAATTTTTTTTTATCAAACTTACTTTCTTATCATTTTTTCAGTAATTATATTTTTCTATTAAATTTTTTTTTCCCTTACCAAACGCCCCTATAGATTCCTGGAGATTAAATGTACTTGAACTCCATTAAATTCCATATAATTATGTTGCAGTTGGTGTATTCTGTATTTGTACTTATCGAACCACATCATACATTATTTATTGCTATGACCCACGTACGAAGATATTAATTAACAAATCAAGTAAGAAAACGGAGTCCACAACTCCAAAGCAGCATTTGCTTCGGAAGTTGAGCTTTGGAACGGGAGAGTAAAGTGAAGGATGTTGCGGACACCAAAGCATGCGACCGAGATAGTGGTATTGCAATTACTTGTGTTGCAGTTTTTAGTTTTCTTCACAGCTGATGCAGATTACATACCACCTTCAAGATTGACCGGGTTCCCGTACAAGAATTGGTCCTTCGATTTCGACACGATTTTGATCGAAGCGTTTTATGATCCATTGTGCCCCGACAGCAGGGATTCGTGGCCGCCACTCAAACAAGCTCTTCACCACTACGGTTTTAGAGTTTCGCTTGTCGTTCACCTCCTCCCTTTACCGTTAGTGACACCTAATTTACATGTTGACGCTCTTTGGGGTTTCTTTTATTTTTTGGCATGATGCTTACCTAATAAAGATATGAAATTACTTATTGGCACAATAATTGTTTTCCATGGACAACAATACCCAAACCCAGTACTTAGGGCATGGTATTTCAGGGTTACCATTGTTTTGCAGGAAAAGGTCCCCTATAGTGTCTGATGTTGTCATCTTATAATATAATTTCGTATGTTAACTGTGTTTTTCTTTCTTTGATTTTTGCCAATGTCTCCATTCTATTTCTCTCTCTCTCTCTCTCTCTCTCTTCTAATTATAGGTGAAGTAAAAAGCTAATTTCTTGATTATTGAGTCATTCAAGTCCAGACTTCAAAGTCCCATCTCTGTATTTATTTCTAAAGAAAGCTCTGTTTTATTCGCTATTTTGCAAAATTCTCTGCTTCAGTTATATTCTTCTTTTCGCATATGTTGTCTTATTCTTTAGTAGAAGACTCTTTTAAGCCCTTTAAAACCAAAGGAACGCCTCATCTTTTGATTTTATGGATCATATAATCATGTTGAATCTTGAAATTCAGCAAAGGTAAAAGAGTGTGCTAGATTGCATTTTTAACATAATTATACCATGACCTCAATTGCTATTCATATATGTGATGTATTGAAATTATTCTTTTTCATTCTCAAAATTGCAGTTACCATGACAATGCTTTTGTTGCATCTCGTGCTCTGCACATTGTGAACACATTGAATACATCTGCAACATTCCCCTTGCTGGAGTGGTTCTTCGAGCATCAGGTTAATATTTCCAGTTTCTAAATCAATTTGTATTTGCTGTATTGGTTGAATACGGTACACATTAACTTGAAGCTTTTGCCATTGTGAAATTGGATGTTAGAATTGCTTTAGACTTTAGACCTATTCAAAAAGATGTTTTCCATTTTCATTGTGATTCAAATTTGCATGAACTTTCAAGTTTATCTGGTAGTGAACTTTTAGCTGTTCACAGTTCTTTCCGCTCCTCATTGTTGGTTGTCCTTTTTAGTTGTACTTTTACACTCAAGTCTAATGTTAGTTATTATTGAGTCATTTGGTGGACTGTGGACCAAAGACCCGAGCTTGAGTCTGTCTTTTACGTGCACACACACTCAGAGACTGCACAATTAATGCCTCTAATATAGTGTTGAACTGTTGATAGTTTTAATTTTTTATGCATTTTGTTTGGATTGTTCCCCAAAAACAGAAAATTGCAATCTCTTGGTTTTCATTCCCCAGGTTTTATTATATTCAAAGCAAAAAAATTCTATTAAATTTTCTTTCCCTTTGTTTTCTTTCTTCTTGTTTTGTTCCTTCTTTATCAATCATATGGTGGTTGAGTTCTGCACCTGGTTCAAAGGGAAATTTAGTGTGTGGGTTCACACTACGAAAAGTTTCCTTGCTGAATCAGCAGTTTCATAATTAAGAAACTGTTGCTTCAATCTTCAAATTGTTGGAATGGTTCTTTAGAATTTCCTCTCCACTTTTGTGCAGCAACATGTCTTAATATAACCCATGCGAGTCTGCGACTGTTCCTGCTGTAACTATTTAAGGAAGGGCAACATGGCTACTTGAAAGTCATGTTTCTCTGGCTAAAAGTTGTTTACGTTGATGTCACAGCTATTTGTATCTTCTGTGTTGTACTTAAGAAATAAATGTTGCATCTAGGTTGCAATCTTTCTGTAGAAAAAGTTATTCAAGTTTCTTGCTCACCAGATCTGGTGCATACGCTTTAACAGGAGAAATTCTATAATGCTCAAACACGGAACTTATCCAGGGCTTCTATCGTAGAGGAGATAATAAAGTCTGCAGCAAAAGTAGTTGGGAGCTCTTATTGTAATGCCGTAAATGATGGCTTCAGTGACAGAAAAACTGATCTTCAAACCAGGGTTTCTTTTAAGGTAAAGCAAAATCTTTATTTGGTTGCATTCAGACCGACTCCAATTACTAGAAGATATTAATGGATTGGAAATTTGTATTCAAAATTAGTATTTTCATATCATAATTCTTTGATTTAAGACTAAAAGGAGCACGTAAATAAAACTCAGCTTACAATCAAATACACTTTTCATGTTTGATTAATTTTAAGCTTCTTTGAAAATGCAGTATGCTGCTCTGAGAGGGGTGTATGGAACGCCTTTTTTCTATGTCAACGGATTCTTATTGCCTGATACTGGAGCTACTGTTGACTACAACACATGGAGGAAGGTCATTGACCCTTTGATCGGTGCCCATAAGAGCATAAAAAAAGAGGAATCCCCTCACTTCCTCTTGTGAAAAATGTAGCTATATGAAGTTTAGTTGCAGTAGCACTTAACCTATAAAGGAATCTAAATAATGTCTATGTAGATTGATAGGTGCCAATGCCAATAATGCAATAATGGAAATAAATGTCATAAACGTTCATTTCTATTTATATGTGGCTTGGGATGTATCAGTCGTACCAACAATCAAAGAAGCTTGTTTTCTTTAATTAGAGATTTCGAGTCTGGAAATTGATGAATATGTAGTCAAGAGTAAGATTATGTATTAAAACTTGATAGTGAGAGTTTGGTTGTTTTACTCTAGTTTGTATTAAAACTTGATAGTGAGAGTTTGGTTGTTTATGTAGTCTTACTCGGTTCGAATTGGACTAGCTGAATAATCGATAAATTGATAGATGATATATAAGAAAAGACATTTTGTGTTACAAACAGGTGTCAACTCATAAAATGAATATTCAATGTAGTGATTTTGTTGTATGTTGCAATTTTTTTATAAATGATAAAAGTTTAGGAAAAGAGAATTACATATTTAATATCATAGAATGGAGTACATGCTGTGTACTACAAATTGCATTCTTCCAATAGTGGTGTTTGAAGTTATATTTGGAATGAGATATTGTGACAATTGCTATCTTATTCTGTTCATTTTTAACTCGAGTTCTCCTTTAGGATAACTTATTCTGCTTATTCTGCTGTGGACAGAATAAAATGAATCAACAGTAAAAACTTATCATATTTTGTTGGTTTACCAAACATTCGATGAGAGCATAATATGATGGTCTTATCCTAATATGTTCTTTGTAGTTTAACCACCAAATGAACCCTAAATAGTGATTGCAATTGTATTTAATATTAGATTATGTATTCAAATTGCATAGAATGCAGGATAGAGGAATAAGTGGAGGTCAAAAGTAAGCTAAAATGAATCAACAGTAAAAACTTATCATATTTTGTTGGTTTACCAAACATTCGATGAGAGCATAATATGATGGTCTTATCCTAATATGTTCTTTGTAGTTTAACCACCAAATGAACCCTAAATAGTGATTGCAATTGTATTTAATATTAGATTATGTATTCAAATTGCATAGAATGCAGGATAGAGGAATAAGTGGAGGTCAAAAGTAAGCTATACAAAAATTTTAAGTGATGTGTGCGAAAATGTGATTAAATTTGAGTCCTACGTATGTAACTATGTTTAAAACTTGATAGATAGAGTTTTTCCACTCTTATGGTCTTACCTGATTTAACCGAATCAGTTATTTGTTGAAACGGTGAAGAAAACTCTAAAAAAATTATTTTGTTGTAGGTCTAGGCCATGGTCGTGGTAAAAGATATCGTGGGAGTGGTCTTAAATCAATAAATCGCCAATTTTTATTGGCTTTACACATCTTATATGGTTTTTTATGGCTCTTGGTTTGTTCAATTTTGTAGACTGAACGAATTAGGTACAAAACAAAACATAGTTAAAGTTGAAATTTTACGGAATAAAAAATCATGATGTAAAAAAATCATAAAAATGTAAAAATATTTAGAATATTAATAAAAATTTTTTGATAAAAAAGAATCATAATGATAAATTAAAATTTAACTACCGTAGATACAACAATAGTTTACTAATATTTAGGCCAGTTGAGTCAAAAAATTTATCTGCGTTGAGGATAATAAGTTATGGAAAGAATTGATGTCATATTCATTTATAATGTTTTATTAATTTAGCATGCAAATTAAATTATATATGATATTTACGTAGATATTTTCTAATATATGAGATTACTTTCCTGCTCTTACTTTATAAAATAGAATATCTAGTCAGTCAAAAAAGAAATACAGAATTTAGCCATATTATTTGATTAATAATAATTAAATATTATAACGAGAATTTCTAAACCGGACCATATGAAAGCCCATCAAACCTAAAGTTAGTTGTAAGTTACGAAACGGGCTTCTATAAAATATATGGTCAGAAGATTGCAAATTAAAATCCCCGTCCTATTGTACCAAATTAACAATTAAATAAATAAAATCCCCATCCTGAAAAAAAAAAAGTCCCCCTTGTGCAACGCTGCGTTTAAACTCCCCACAAAAGGCATGTGGTAGCTATGTGAGCTTGCTTCCTCTTGAGTCTTAAACGTTTCTTACTTGTTCATCTGGTTAGGGTTCGCATCAGATTCTCACAAATTTTGCTCGCTTGTGCTGTTTCAGTAGATTTTGTTGAAGATGACTCAAGACCTTGAGATGAAAGATAGCTCCACGCCTACGAACTCTGCTTCTTCACCTGTTCCATCTACTTTGCAGCGTAAGAATCTCCGTCTAAATACCACTACTGTAGCGACTTCGCGTTTCTAAATCATTCCATGCTTTTTTTTTTTTTTTTGTCTTTTGGAATTCGGATTCGGATTCATAGATTTGAAGGAGATAGCATCTCTTATCGAGACTGGTTCGTACTCGAAGGAAGTTCGCAGAATTGCTCGTGCTGTTCGCCTTACAATTGCATTGAGGCGCAAATTGACAGCGTCCATTATCTCATCTTTTCTCGATTTTGCTCTTACTCCTGGTTCTGAGGCTCATGCCAGATTGTCTGCCTATCTTCCCAAGGTACACTTGTATAACTTTTATGTTAGATACAGGGGTTGTTCCTATTGAGTAAGATTTTGGATTTTTCTTTTTTAGTGTTCTTAATTTTTAAATCCTGATTTAAATTATGAAGATGGGTAGTCGTAATGAATGTGTGAAAATTATTTTGTATGAACTAGTAAGCTGCCAGATAAATGGTGTGATTGTGATGAAACTTTGTTTCCCGTCATACTCAGATGGTGACCTCTCTAAAAAATAGCATCTGTTGGCTTAGTAAGTTAGTTCTGCTATTGAACGATGAAGACAAAAATTTCTTTTCAATGCGAAATTTCGTGAGATAGATATTGATTCTCTGATTAATCACACATTTGTGGAAAATTTGCATTATTTTGATTCTGTTTAAAGACTGAAGAGTGAGAACTGGATGCGGGTCAATAAGCACAGTATTTTGCTCCAATTCTCTGGTTTGGTCTTCCTCAGGAAATATTGGGTTGTTTTCTTATGTTTTTATGGTCTTTCAAGTAATAGCTTTGTCGCTGATTATATAGGAGGATGATCACGATATGGAAGTTGATGCTGCAACAACTGCTATTCAAACACCGGTGAAACACCTGTTGCCTGAGCTAGAAATCTACTGCTACCTCCTTGTGTTACTTTTTCTGATTGATCAGAAAAAATACAACGAGGTCAGTCCCTGTCTTGCTAATATTTTTTCAACTATACCAACTGACAACTGATTATATACTAATGTTCATTTGTTTTTTCTTTTTAGGCCAAAGCTTGTTCCTCAGAAAGCATTGCTTGGGTAAAGAACCTGAACAGAAGAACTCTTGACGTTATTGCATCCAGACTGTATTTTTACTATTCATATAGCTATGAGCTTACGGGAGATCTTGCTGAAATTCGGGGGTGAGTTAAGTGCTTATCTATGTAATGAATGACATGAGGAGGTTTTAAACTAAATTATATTTAATTCACATATATTAAGTAAGTTTTGAAATTTTTGTTTTCAGAAACCTCCTTGCATTGCACAGGATTGCTACCCTGCGCCATGATGAGTTGGGTCAGGTTTGTTTCAACTTTACTTGGAGGTTTTTTTACATGGGAGCTTATGATCTAGTACTTACCTCATAATGCAATGCAGGAAACACTTCTTAACTTGTTACTTCGTAACTACCTTCACTACAACCTATATGATCAGGCAGAGAAGTTGAGGTCCAAGGCTCCACGATTTGAAGCACATTCAAACCAGCAGGTATAATTGCTCTGTTATCCTGAGCATTAAAAGTGATTTATTTGTGGTAAATAATCTTTACCTTCTATTCCAGTGCTCAGAGCTAATTTGTGGTAAAGCCTTTGTGCTGAACCTACTTAATGACTATGTGTCAATAGTTGTTTATTTAGTCTATTGCTGTTAAAATTCTATTTCTTAGTTAATTTTTCATTCACGTATCTGCATTTGTTGTATTTCTATTTCAGTTCTGTCGTTATCTCTTCTACCTTGGAAAAATTCGGACAATTCAGCTGGAGTATACAGATGCAAAAGAGTCTCTCCTGCAAGCTGCTCGGAAAGCTCCGGTTGCAGCACGGGGTTTTCGAATTCAATGTAACAAGTGGGCTGTGATTGTGCGTTTACTATTGGGAGAGATACCTGAGCGGACTGTCTTTATGCAGAAGCAAATGGAGAAGGCCTTGAGGCCTTATTTTGAGCTTACGAATGTAAGTCAATACTATGATCCGCAACTGGTCATAATCATATCCCTCTATGCTAATTCTAACATTATTATGATTATTTCATTCAGTCAGAGTCCCTTTATCTCTCTTAGTCGCAAGTGAACTTCCTTTTTTTCTGTCTTGAATATACATTTAGTCCTCCAGTTGTTTCATCATGTTTTGATGTACGTCCTATGCCCTCCACTTGTTTTTTTTTTTTTTTTGGGCTTGGTATTGGTCCATATGTGCTTTGTATCAGGTTTACAATTTGATTTCTTTGTTTTTTTTGTTCTTTTGTGTTTCCTTTTATCAGTGCATTGATTAAATTTACTGTATATCTCAACATTTGTCAGTCCATACCACAGCTCCCAAAAAATTGCCTAGGAGAGATACATGGAAGTGGCACCATTAAAGAATTTTTACTGAACATAAATGTGACATTTTCTGTGGAAAAGCATCTGAGCTATGCAGTTACAAAAATATTTTGGGAGACAAAGATTTGGAACAATTAACCTCTTAACTTGTAAACAATGTTCAAAGTGATGTTAATAAGTAATCACTTGAGAAATAATTGTTGGATTTTTCCCTGACTTATTTTATATTTCCTCTAGACAATAGCCTGTGATCAACCTCTCTTGCAAAACTGAGGTCCTGAGTTAGTTATCAACTGTATCGAAACACAACTTTATGCATATGTTGTGCCTTTATTGAAGCTTTGGTACTTTCTTGGATGTTATTTGTCATCCATAGTAATGTTATTTGCTATATTACCTTTTTGTGTTAGTGTTAACTTATGTTTTGGAATTTTCAGGCTGTCCGGATTGGAGACTTGGAGTTATTTAGGAATACTGCAAATAAGTTTGCAACCACCTTCAGTGCAGACAGAACTCATAATTTGATTGTTCGTCTGCGGCATAATGTCATCAGGACTGGTTTGCGCAACATCAGCATCTCCTATTCCCGCATCTCACTAGCTGATGTTGCTAAAAAATTAAGGTTGAACTCTGCAAATCCCCTTGCTGATGCTGAGAGCATTGTATCAAAGGCTATTCGTGATGGGGCAATTGATGCGACATTGGATCATGCAAATGGGTGGATGGTTTCGAAGGAAACTGGAGATATTTACTCCAGTAATGAGCCTCAGTTGGCTTTTAATTCTCGGATCGCCTTCTGTCTTAACATGCACAATGAAGCTGTTCGGGCACTTCGTTTCCCACCAAACACGCACAAAGAAAAGGAAAGTGCGGAAAAGAGAAGAGAAAGACAACAGCAAGAACAAGAACTTGCTAAGCATATTGCAGAGGAGGATGACGATGATTTCTGATAATGATTGTCTTACCCTTTCATTTGCAATCAGGATCTCTTTTATTTGCAACTTTTGCTCATATTTCCCTTTTGAAGAATTTCCATTATCATTACCTTTTCAAAAGGTGGAAGTATCTTACCATATTGAAATCTTTACTGTTTGTTTCCATCCATGATGACAGCTGTGGTTTGTTTCCTTGTTGGGAGAATTATGGTTTAGGATATGAAGAGAAAAATTCAATTATTTCGGGCCATGCTAGTGATTCTGTTCAAAAGTTTGTTATCATTCAAAGCTGTTTACTCTGAAGGATTTACTGAATCATAATGTGATAATTTGTTTTCTATCGTGAATCAATCATTTTCTCAGGGCCTTCGGATGATATCCTCCCTTTCCCATTTGGGATGGAGATTGGATTAAAGACCATCTCGTGTGGAGGAGGGAGAGGGTAGGCTAAGGCAAAGTTTAGGTAACAATCGTTCAAGGGCTGAGAGCAGTCCCTACAGGGACATGGTGCCTCTTGAACCGAGTAATCTAGTTATATTTGTGAATGTTTGTGAAGGTTCATTCAGTAATTTGGCTTTTTTTTTATAAATACAGTTTTTTCATCATGTGGTGATAAAGAAGATTCATATGTACTGTAGGAGGTGTTTGGTAGAGAAGAATTTTTTTCTTTTATCCGAAAATTTTGATTTTTCAGAAATATGATGAAAAGATTCAGTTTACGATAATATTCGAAAATTAAAAATTTAAAAAAATTTAATTTTTTGAGAATCCTAAAATATATCTTGTACCAAACGTGCTTTAGACATGCAGCTTGTCCATCGAGAGATGGGATGGCTTGTTTAAGGAACACGTCATGTCATTGTACTACAGGTGAACTTTAGTTTCATAAATTTTGTAGGGAGTAAATTTATAGATGATGGTTAAACACCTGTTTTTGTAAATTTACATGGTTGTTAAGGTATAAATTATTAAGAAAATTACAATAAATTAGAAGCCTATAACAGTATTTAGCCTCTACGGGTTTGGGAGCGTTCATCTTGGAGCAGGACTCTAGTTGTCTTTTTGCTGATCCTGATACCAAGAGTTCTCGTTACTAAGCGAAATATGAACCATATCTAATAAAAGACACATGTTGAATGATATGTCAGCTCTCAACTAAGTTGAAAAATGAATCTTAGCTCAAATTATACTATAAATTATTGTAATATGAATACTGTTATTACGTTGGGAATTGGGAAACATTAATTCCCCGAATTTCTATATATGCTATGTTGTAAGTTTAAGGGCAAAGTGTTGTGTTTTGTGTATTAGTTGCATCTCACTGCTTTAGAAAGCAGAAACATTCCAGAAGTGTTGCAAGTTTAATGCACGATTCAGATGCTCTTTTAGCTTTTCAAAATGGCATGTACTATGTAGAATCTTTGAGTTTTTTATTAGATTGAGATAAATCTTTGGTACAACTGTTGTACTCAAGTGGGTACAATTTTTTTCTACTTTTAGAAAAAAAATTAACACTTTTCAAATTTTTTCAAATTTATTTTTCCCGCCATATTACACTTTTTTCCAAAAGTGAAAAAAAGTTGTACCCACTTGAGTACAACTGTGGTACCAAAGATTTTTCCATTAGATTGAAACACACGAATTCAGAAAGTGAAGATTCACGATATTAATTAGCTGGTAGTCTGTCACCATTCCAATAGATATCTCACAGGGCTAGGCTTTTATTTTTATTATTATTCTTTTCAGGCTTTTATTTCTATTGTATCCTAATTGAATCCGAGGGAGAGAATTTTCATTTTTGAATAAATACTAAAATGAGATATATGATATAACCTTCGGATTCATTCTTTATTCATCTTTACAAACATTTTATTTCATTATACTTATAAATACAAAATTACTCATCCAAACATACGATTAAAAAAATTTATGGGCTCTATTGGGCTGTTGATGTAAGCCCAATGAAGAAGCAGGTACATTAAGCCCGTGAAGTAATGAGCAGTAAGCGGTTGTTACCAATTTGGACCCTCATGACATTTATTTGAGTAAACATTGGCCCTTCCAAGTAGATGTTAAAAAAGTTTTGAGTAACGGAAGCCCAATTAGATTTAGCTGGACAAAAACATAAGAGGAAGAGAATCCTAGATTGTCGTTACCTTCTACTTACCGAGTACAAACTACTTATTAGTTGATTCTGTTACCAGATTTGCGTTGTTTTGAAACCTGAAACTGGCCGTGGCCACTATCTGAGGTGCTACCCTAGTTGTAGACTGCAGCTTGTAAAGGGTGATTATTGCAATTTCTTTCTCATTTAAATTTAAAATACAAATACAATGTCGACCATAAACCAGGACCAGATGGTCGACGAATTGAACTGTTCAGAAACTAAACGACATGACGAGAAAAAAGAGGAAGAGGAAGAGTTGGAGAAGCTTATACTCCCTGATGTGCAGGATCTTCCCCTCACTCCTCCTTCCGCCGTTGAATCCAACTTTTCCACTTACTTCGCTCTAGGTAATCCTTTTTACTCACTTAACTCCTCTAATTGAAACCAGGTCATTTTTTTTAAACCCTAAACCTCAATTCAATTTCGGTTGATATTTACGAGAACAATTAATTATTTGTTGAAATCAAACTTGATGTTTCTTCATTGCTCGGTTATTTCGGTCTCCAGATTTTATGAAGCCAGCTCACGATCAGTACGTTTACCGGCACGCCAATGGGTATTCTATTATATTGTTCTTGCACTTAATCTTTTAATTGTTTTGAGGTTCAAATTCAAATTGAAATGTGTCGGTAATGTTTTTTGTTCTCTGTGACCTTAAAGTTTGTGTGTGATCGGGTTGGCTCCTTCCCACATTGCTTTCAAGGATGAAGGTGGAATTACAGCCGTAGATTTCAATGTTGGAAAGTCTGATCGCAGCGGGGTGAAGGTCACTGGAAAGCGAAAGAAGGTACATTTTCTCAATTTTCTCCCTCTCCTGCTTTGCTTGAAAAAAGAATATATTACATTATAACCTTTCTCTATATATCATTAATAGAACTTGTAATTGAAAATTAAAATATGTCAATTTTATGGTGAAATTCTTATCTTCATACATACATACAATTATACAACTAAAAAGAAGGCCAGTGTAGTGTTGCATCACTTTAAGTCTATAACATATATATGAAGGATTAAAAAGGCTATTTCCTAATTCCTATTCGGTAAAAAATTAAAAATGCTTTAATATCACTGATATTACTTTTACAAATGGAATGGCTTTGTTGTTGAGAAATGGACCTACCGTTGAATGATATTATATATTATTTCTGCAAGTGGGTGTGTTCATGAAAATGCAGAGTTTGTTCTTATCTGTTACTTGCAATATCTCTTTGTTTATGATATGCTAATAAATCATTCAGGCATGTTTCATAATATTACTGTTTGGTGAATTTTTGTGCGTTTCAAAACATTTCACTTTCTGAAATAGCTTTTTCTCTTCTTCTGTGTTTCTAAAATAGGATGTATCTTTATGCAGAATGCTCAACACTTTGAGTCCAACACGGCTTTGTGCAAAATTTCTACCAAAAATGATTATTATATTGTGAGGTAAGTTCTCTATTATTATACATCCGTATGATCTATGGTTTATTTATATGTGTGTCTGTTTGTTTGTGTGCTTCAGCAACTCTTCTTTCTGGATGACCTCTAAATTGTTTGATAGCTTAACTAGTGGTGACTTTTCATAGGTGTTGTGTCAAAGGCTCCCTTTTGGAAGTGAATCAACAATTAATAAAGCAGCCAGAACTGCTTAATGTTTCGGTAAGAATAACTAAGTTTTTATCCTGTCTGATGTTTTGATGCGGGGATAACATCGATAAAACTTTCTTGTAACTGGAGAAATAGTTCTGCATATTACAATGAAGAATTATAAACATGTATTGTCCTTTGCATCTTTAATTTCACAATGACAGTAAAATGTGTTTGAGCTGCTAACCTGCTTCATAATCAAATCTGTCCCAGTATTACTGTTATAGTGTTATCTTTTCTAACTTAATTTGTCCAAATGGGCTTGTAGCGATTACTTAAAACAGGATTTTTTATTTTTTATTTTATTTGCAATTGAAGTTTTAGCATGAACTACTAGTGGCATTGTGTAGCAATAAAACTAAATGTGTGCCAAGTCTTGCTTATGGTGATCAATGGGTATTCTAGAGGTGCTGTAGTCCCATGCTAGCACAATTAATAATGCGAAGAAAGAGATGCTGATGCCTTGTTGTAGTGTGATTCAAGAAGTTATGTTTATGGCTCATAGGTCGGTGGAAATATGCATGTAAAAAGCTAGAAATTATTCATAGTAATATTCTTTCCACCCACTCTTCCGTGTGCAACCTAAGAAGGTTGATACCATCCTCAATCTTGTCAAACCCCTAAGGAGGAAGAGAGCCTATCTATAACTGTACCTTGGTGGATGCTTCTGCACAGAACATTATATTTTGGAAAACTCTCTCTCACGCAGCCAAAATTGCTGTACTGTACATTGCTTTTCATAATGTTCGAATACTTTTGTGATTTTGTGTTACTTTTTTTTTATTAGGCTCATATAATATTAAGGGTGTGCATGATAACTTTCCCAGAATCAGTTTTTTTTTTTTTTTCAATTTCTGTTTCCGGGAACATAAATGGATAGAAAACTCGGAATAAAAATAAAATGTGTTAACAAAAGTAATTCTGATTCTCAAAACTCTTCCAAGACACAGAATCAGAAAAAACTGTTTCATCTCAGAAATAGTGCTGGAGAACAGAATGGTTGTAATGCACGCTGTAAATGTTTATTCTGGCACTCCTTAAGTTTCTTGGCTCAAAAGTGTGTTGCCTTATGTAAATCATATTATCAAGTAAATCGATGGGGAGCCGTGGAATTAAATGTGGTAGGAATTATGAAATATAGATGTATGAATCAAGAGTTATGAAATATCCTAGGTGTTAGAAATAGTTGATTACCACAGACAACGGGACATGAAGTTAACAGCTGAAGTGATGTTCACGACCCGTGCAGCGATAGCCATGGTGTATGGTTGGCTTAGAGGTCCATTTATCTGTTAAAATGATTGCTGCTACTGCTAAATACTTGGATATTTCCTTGAGATTTTTAGGGCACACACCAGTTTGTTGTATTTTATCTTCATCCTAATACCATGTATTTATGCCATGAAATATTCTCTAACATTTTTTTTCTATCTGTTTTTTCTCTCTCTCTCTCGTTATCAATTTATTTTTATAAATTCTTCAGGCTGACAGAGAAGGATACATTGCTATTATCATGCCAAAACCTGCTGATTGGCTCAAGGTCAAGGCTTCCCTTGTCACCCTTCAGGAGTACAAGAAATTGAAGGAAGTCAGTAATCTGAAGCAAGCAGTGGCCAATGATGGCACCTTAAAAGAGACTCTGTAAGAAGCATGGTGTCATATTGAAGTGCTTGGAATGATTTCCCCATATGATGCTTCATTTAGTGGGGTCCCAAATGCCACAAACTGGATGAAATTGAGAAATTTTTAGGTGCGGATGGTGAGAAACCTTACTCGACAATGGTATATGCCAAGTGGTTCAATCATGTTAGATTAAAATAAATCTCTAACTCCATAAGAATATGATATTGGAGCTACTGACTACTGAGAGTCCATTCTTTTGGAGTTTTAGTTTTTTTTTTTTGGTTTATTATTGTATTTTCTAATTATTATTCAAAAATTTAATCTTTTGAACCATTGACGTTAGTAATAGATGATAATTTGATTTTTGACCACTTCGTCCGCTTTTTTTAGATAATTACTGGTAAGAGGTGAGTATTTAATAGCCACTTAATTTCCTTTATTTATTATATTTTTCGTTGTTTGTTACGAAATTTAAATTTAAGAATTTCAACTTCCAATCAACGAGTATTTTCTTTTTGATATGTACTATTAATATTTGTTTGAGTATCAAGAATTTGAGAAAGTTAAAAATTACGAATATATTTAGATATGAATATGATGGAACTTATATGAAAACAAAATATATCTAGTATCTATTGAATTTAAATATTCTTGCTTATTACTTTCTCGTTTTTACTGTTCAAATAACTCAAATTTTTTTTTGTAAAATGCTTCTCTTTTGGTCTTACATTCTACCCGAAGTGCAAATAGAGAACCAATGCCTATTTTCTAAACCCAAAAGCAAAATTAGTAAGCCTGCTTTACCCTGCAAAAAATACAGCCAGCCAAAAGAAGAACGATAAAAAAAAAAAAAAAAACTTAAGCAAATTAAAAGGATATGGGTTCTCTGCAGTTGTAACACAAATGTACGCAATCTCAACCGTAAAAGTTATCTCATTTTCTTATAAAATATAACTGTAAAATTAAAAAATAAAAATAAAAATGAAGCATTAGATCGCTAAACTGCAGCTGACGCAGCTATTTGTTAACTGCAGATGATCCAATTCTTAATAAAAATCACTACTACTTAATGTGAACGCTTGGTTTTTATTTTATGAAATGTTAATTGATATGTTGTTGGCAAATCAAAGAATTAAAATGACTATTTGAAAATTGAAACAATGAACACTTGTCAAAATCACCCGGGCAGCGAAGGGAAGAAAAATCCACTCGTGAAATTCACGCTTCCTATCCGAACGGTGGGTGTGACACCGCGCAGAAGTTTCTCATTGAACTTGACTCATGCGGCCCCCAAAACATATCCACAAAGATGAAAGGAAAAGAGTGGTATCGAATTTTTGTTAACGTTGTTGTTTGTCCGTAATTTCTTGCAAAACTAGTCTTCTAGATCTGTTTATGGTGAGAAAGCACAAGTAGATATGCTCTTCAAGCTCTTCCAACTGATCAAGAAAGTTAGATTCGTAATCGTGAAATTCCCTCACAACCTCCTTAAGTATTTCACCATTTTCACTCTTCACACAGATATCAGCAACCTCTCTTCGGTGTTCTACCTCCTCGTGCAACCTATTAACCATACGGCTCATAGTATCCAAGTCATTGATCAGTATATAAACCCCTTTCGCAGCAACATCAAGTTGCTCGTATAGTCTTTTAGAAGAACTTGTTCTGAACCTCTTATGAACCCACCTGAACCCTTTCTTAAACAAACAAAATACGCTACCCACTATACAAGGTGCAGCCACCAACCCAATTATGCTATGCAACGCTAAGACTAGTAAAGCCACCAGAAGAGCGCTATGCGAAATGACTAAACCAATTCCTCCAACCTTCTTCAAAACTCTCTTTATTGTTAATCCTCTTCGAATTTTCTCTCTCTTTGTTTTTAATCTATTTAGAAGCAACATGTGTCTGTCGTGAATGTCACGGAACTTCACGGGGCTAATTCTGGACAAAGGGTTATTTTGCAATACGAAGGAAGCAAGCTCTCTATAGATGATAACCTTAGGGGATTGGTCATCTCCAATAATATCTGTTCCACCACCTATTACTCTTTTGCTTAGCTTAACAATCTTTGTAACTCTTCCATAAGCAAGTCGCGTTTTATGGATACCTTCAAGGATTTTGTCACAACAACGGCATGCTTCTAAGCTGGCTTCAAAGTAATCCACCAGAAGATGATGAACCTTGAAACTCTTCGTGATGTTTGTTATAATTTCTTGACGCGGTTCCAGCAAATATTCCGTAAGATTCATGAATGAAGGAGGGGAAGACGGTGAAGAAGAGAATGAAAAGAGTCCTCCTCTCGTGCTTGTCTCTCCAAGCTGTCCTTGGGCTTTGTTGCATATTTCAACGTAAGACTTTGTTCTGAATGCTTTGAGGTATTCTCTGTTAACGTTTGGCTTGCCACTAAAGCTGTCTTCGTTGTATTCTTTCCGTGATCTACCTAGTTTGCATAAAATGAAATTCATACATTAGCTAATTAATTATTGGAGCCAATTAATACTTACTTTAATTAATTACCAATAACATTGGGGATTTAACAAATTAAAAGAACAAAGCTGAAAAAATATTTCAAGAAAAAGTGGATCCAAAGAGAAGAGTAGTGTTCAGAAATTAAACATACCCGTTCTTCCTCGCAAGCGAGATAGCCACCCGTTGTTTGTCATCTCTTACATAAAGTAAAAATGTTTATGAGAACTAGTTCTATTATGGTTATCTTTTTGTTTTTTATGTAATGAGTATATATATAGAGAGGGATAGAGATCTAGGGAAAGATGTTGTGTATGCTGTGTTATGGCTTTGATTACAAGTTTAGCTTACCTCGCACGGAGTGTTCTCCTACGTGGCACTGGACAGCTCCCGCAAATTTTTAAGTCGTATTCGTTATTCAAGTCCAATCTCATTTGCAAACTAAATTTTTCAACCATTTTTAGGATAATTAATGATATTTCAATCCAAAGTTGTTCGAATTAAGTATGAGCGACTTGTGCTTCTTAGGGGATATTCCCGAAACCCATTGTCTTAAGGAGTTTTTATTAACCGCAACGTGATTTGAAAGATTAAACTTCCATATTAATTAGCTTCTTTTTATTTTTTGGGAAACATTAATTAGCCTTTTTTTATAACAAAAATAATGTCTTAGTTATTGGTTTATATAGAATGATTAGCGGGTTTTGATAACAAGATAATTCACTTTTTAATAACTAATAATTGGAACATTATTAATTGGTACATAAATAATATAAAAAATTAATGAGCTAGAAACAACTTTTAATAAAGATTGATACTGAATTGCCTCGATTTGGTACCGCTCTCGCGGCCCGCACCGAAACAGTGCTTTACCGCTAGATGTCCAGTCAATTGTTACGCCTCAACGTATTTCGGGGAGAACCAGCTAGCATCCTACTCGAATTGTTTTCATGAAATGGCACACAAAAATCCAATCCTACGAATTATTTTACTTTATCATATTCTAATTGTTGAAATAAATGAAGTGTATTATGCAGAATTGCAAAAGAATATGGGAGTCACACAACTTCTTAAAACTTATCGATTCATGATGTATACGTTCTTCGAGGATAAGACATACAAGAATTCGTGATGTATATGTTATGGTCTTTGGTGAACGGTTTCGTAAACATTTGGTCGTAATAAAATTGTATTCCTCTTCCAATAAAGAATCCATTTTGCATAGCATTGTTATTTAATTTTTTTCTTTCTAAATTTTATTTTCCGTGAGATTCCTTGCATAATTTATCTGAAAATAAATTTCTACAAGTATAAGCCCGTTTTTGTGAGTATAAATAAATATATGAACGTTTCGTAAATAATAATTAAATTTATATAAAATTGTATCGTATTGACAAAAATAATGTTTAACGTTTATCTATGTAAAATAATAGAATAAAAATGTGTGTTTAAAAAATAAGATAAAATTAATTATAATTAAATTATGGAAATTATACGAATGAAAAATTATATACATGTAAATATATATATATATATATATATATATATATATATATATATTATTTACATGAATACGTATAATTAACGTAATTATATTGACAATATAAATCATATAAAATGATTTTTATTCCAATTAAGTTTGCAAAAATTTGGCCATGAAGCCATTATACTTCCATAAAGTTATGGAAGATTTTGGAAAATTCATGTTAGACAGCTTGGTCCTTCACCCTTCCTGAGCTATGCATTGATAACGAACGCGTTTGTGTAAAAGAAACGAAGCACAGGTGGCGCTATTGAAGTATATTAACGTGGGGTCCCGCAACTCTCATTCAATCTCTATCTGTTTGCCACGTGATTCGTAACAACCACGGACCTTGCATCTTCTTTATTTCTACAACTAAGAATTACAAATTGTCACTTCACCTATTCAGAATTTCGTTTCCTCCAAGCTGCAATGAAGGATAATCGAGTTAATAACGTAGGCCCGCACCTCAACAGTTAAGATTCGAATGCTTCAATTCATGTTAATGGTTATTTACAAGTAAATATTACAATAATTTTTTTTTAGTTAGTCAGTGCTAATTATTTCTTTGAAGCAAGTTGACTCCTTCCGTTATTTCCAGAAGCTTCAGCTCTTTATGAGACTAATCTGGAATAGAAGGTAAAGTGTGGATGAATATATTTTAACCCATCTAAAGATGACATCTAAGAATCAAACTGAAATTCTTTTTTTTTTTACTACCACCATTTAGTTATTAAAATAAATCTTTAACGAGACTTGTGATTTTTTATTTTTACAAAATGAACCTAAGCTCAGGAAACTTTCATTAATGCTTGTAACATGCATGTTACGGTTTTTAAATGGGATAGTTTTCTTGCCCTTAATTGAACATGTTACTTATTTTATTATGTACTTCAATGGGTTTGGGATTTAGTTTTAAAATAAAAAATACAAAAAGGTTTTGCACTTCTAAATATAAAATAAAAACATTTTCACCTTATACTGTCTAATTATCATTTGTTTTCTCGAGATATTCTCATATTTACTGGGTGTGCTTTTAATTCCTTAATTAAAATCAATCTCTATATATATATATATATATATATATATATATATATATATATATATATATATACACGTTCCTTCGTAGGTTAGATTCATGTATTCAGCCTTGCTAAATGCAAGATAAAACTGTTTTTTTTATAGCAAAATTGTTTGTTAAGTCCTACATAATATATCAAACATTTCTCTTAATTATGCGCGAGCGGGAGGAATTATATGGTATCTAAGGCAATGGTGGGCCCAAGAATTTTATTTATGTTTGCATATTTAGAAATGGGGATCGGTGGCAATGCCCCCAAATTGTTTTTTTAAAAAAAGTTTTAAATGTATTAAAAAATAAAAAGAATATAAACAAAAAAAGAAAAGAAACTGGAACTTACTACAAAAATAAAGTACATTTTAAGTCCTCAACAAAAATTACGGGACCAAATTTAATCCCTTAGAAAAAAATTGACTCGTGATCTCTCTGAATTTTAAAATAGACTCATGTTGTTATCAAAAAAAAAATAGACTCATGTTAGTCTTTTTGAGAGACTAATATAGGTCTTCTTTGAATTTCAGAGAACCACAATTTCAACTAACCGGGTTTATTTTGGAATTCAGAAAGACTGAGAGTCGATTTTTTTTTTAAGAGGTTAAATTGGACCTGTAATTTTAATTTCTGTTGAATTCTCTCTCTTTTTCTCCAAAAATTTATGTATGCACACATTTACACCAATACAGATCCGCCCTGATCTAAGGAATTGCAGTCATCCCATTTTATATTAAGGCATGTGATAACACTATCAAGCGCTCGCTTCTTTTGCAAACCTTCATCTTTTTTAAGATACCACTATTTAATAAGATTGTCTTTAAAGGAATTGCAGTCATCCCATTTTATATGAAGGCATGTGATAACACTATCAAGCGCTCGCTTCTTTTGCAAACCTTCATCTTTTTTAAGATACCACTATTTAATAAGATTGTCTTTAAAGTAAGTGAAAATATATCAACTTTTAAATTTTAGTTGATATTGATCAATATACACTTAAAAATACAAAGATAAATATGTCCTCACTTAAAAAAATAAAAATAAAATAAAATCCATATGTCCTTAGATTTTGGGGTGAGAAAACTTATTGCTGCATATTCCATGTGTCCTTGTGGATATTTTATGTTCACAATTCAGTCCGGTTTTAGTCGAGCCCAGTAATTGATTCATCATTGACCCCAAACAATAATATTTCTTTTTTTTTTTTGTAAATAAACAATAATATTTCTATCCAACTGAAAACTCACAAACAGTGGCGGAGCTGGGCTCAAATATGAGCCGGCCAATGTATTTATTTATTTTAACTTTAGTTAATTTATATCATAATATATTTAAATTGAGGAATGATTCATTTATAAAAAACAATTGAATTTTTTTGCAAATTATACTACATACTCTCGGAAATACATAGTGTTACCTAGTGTACTTCCAGGAGTACATAGTGTATTTTGTAAGAGTTTATAAATAAGAATTTTATAAATATAACTCTCCATATTTAAATTATATTAAATATAGAGCACCTGAGCAGTCACTACCAAAAAAAATTATAATTTTATTAAATATTTTTTTTATACAAGTGAAAATTGAACTCATAACCTAATATAACTTACCCAAATCTCTGACAAAAAATATTTTAAGTTTTAGATAGGGCCAAAATACAAATTGTAGCCCGGGTCAAATTATAATTTTAACCTGAGCCAAATTATAATTAATTATATAATTACATATAATAAGTATAATTTATTAAAATTTAGCTTGAGCCGAAGCCACACCCAGGATGTACCTGGCCTCCGCCACTGCTCACAGATCGGAAGACCAAAACAATAAATAAGTTCATATAAAAAGACTTGGATTGATGTTGATTGTGCGAGACACGGGACATTGATCATATTGCTACTCCATTAATAAAAAATTACCTGATTGCCACGTCTGGAATTTATTTTGTCAAAATGCCACGTCACAATCCTGCTGGTCTGACACGTGTCAGCGTCTGAATGGTCAACCATTCTCGCTGGGCTGCCCAGCTAAAATGATAGAATGCTGACACGTGGCAAAAGTACATACATTCTCTGGCTGTTTGTACTTTTGCCACGTGTCAGCATTCTGTCTTTCTAGATGGGCAGTTCAGCGAGAATGGTTGACCATTCAGACGCTGACACGTATCCAGTCTATTTCCGCTTGTCAGACCAGTGGAATTGTGACGTGACATTTTGACAAAAAAAATTTTAGACGTGGAATCAAGTAAATTTTCGCCTAAAAGGTGGCAATATGGTCATTGTCCCTGCGAGACACTCTCTAAAGGACATGTTTTGTTGGAGAAAAAAATATATATGGGTTTTATTTTTCTTATGTTGCATGAGACAAGTTGTCTCATGCAACACACAAAAAGTGAATGGGACCCACTAAAAAAGAAGAGAGAGAAAATAAAAAAGCGGGTCCCACCCATTTTTTGTGTGTTGCATGAGACAACTTGTCTCATGCAACATAAGAAAAATAAAACCCAATATATATTGGGTATTAACAGTATAACGAAATCAAATTTACAGAATCATTCAAAACCATTCGGGTTTTTTAACATGAAAAAAACAGTATACTCATTTCTTTTTTGGAAATCACTGTATATTTTTTTTTTTATCATTGAATAGATATAATTTCATTTGTTTTTCATCGTTTTCCTACCTCATCTGAATAAATATATGAGAATTACTTTTCTGCTGCCATGGCATAAAAGTAACGCATGCTACAGAGACATTCCTTTCAGAAGAAAATGAGATCCACCAAATCAAGCAAAAAAAAAAAAAAAAAAAGTCATTACATGATATATTCCTGAAAATATATCGTGTGTGGTAGAAAAAATTTTCTACAATAAAACTAGAAATAATTCTGTAAATATATAAATTTTTATAACTAATATCTATATTGCGATGAAGAGAATACAAAATTAGAAATACTGTCAAATAGACCCAATTAAAATATGATTTGAAGATCAAATACTTTTGAAACACAGCTAGTGAGATAAATATAAACTTTTATTATTACACACACAATTAAAAAACATTTGTTTTGCCTTTAATTCTAATTCATTTTTAATATAAAAAAAATAATGAAAAAAATAAGCTTTTGGAAAGTAAGAATAAAAAGAAAACAAACCCACGCAAGAGAGGCTTGCCTTTTATTCTAATACACATTAAAATAATATTAACAGAACTCATAAAATTATATCAAATAATAGAATATATAGTGACCAATCATCTATCTAGTACTACATTAAAAGTTTTTTTTTTCATCACTTGATAAACATTTTAAAAATTATCAGCTGAAAAGTGGGATCCAATGGTTAATAGTATATTGATAGTAAAAATATTTAATAATAAGAATATTCTATCTCATAAAATTATCTATTATAATAAGAGAAACATTAACTACTAAAAATAAAAATGTATTACTATTATTTTTCCTTAAGCTACGAGAGTACGAGGACCCATAAGAAATAGGATAACACAGTAAACAAGTTTTTTATTTTCTTTTAAATAAAGTGGGATAAAAAATAAAATTGACAAGGAAAAAAGAAAAGAAGAAGTGAACATAATGTTTAAAATTAGGTTTCTTAACAGATAGGCTGGAGTTAGTTTGTGTTTATGTGTTTATGTGAGTCGTAAAACAGAAAGAGGAGAGGGGGAAGAGATCGCAGGTTTTGTGTTGAGAGTGAGAGTAAGAGCGAGTGGGTCGCGTGAGCAAGATTCCTCTGAATTTTATCGGAGTTGCCTGCCCCATTCTACCAACATAAACCCTAACTCGTTATTTTTTCTATAATTTTTGTGCGTTATTTTATTTATTTATTTATCAAAAAAATAAATATTTTCATTAACCTTCATTCGATTTATTAATCTGGCGATTTATTTATCCATGCTTTGTGTTATACACTGATCAATCATCTATCTATCAGAAACCCTAATCGGAAATGGTTACGACAGCTGAGTCTTCCTCTAATCATCACTCGCCCACTAGTGCTGCCGCGGACACCACCACCGATAGCCCTAAGTTCCCGCGAAAAAACCTACCTTCTCCTTGGGCCCAGGTTGTTCGCGGTGCTGACTCTGAACCACTCCATCAATCGTCATCGTCATCATCTTCCTCATCCTCCTCCTCTTCGTCGTCATCGTCCCTTGATTCCGTTAATTCTAATGCTGCTGCTGTAGATAGCTCTGATGCTGATAAAGGGAGTAATGCTAAGAAACCCGTGTGGAAGAGGCCCTCCAATGGCGTCGCCGAGGTTGGTCCTGTAATGGGTGCTGTCTCTTGGCCACCTTTATCTGAGTCCACCAAACCTTCCCCTAAATTGGCATCTGATTCCTCTTCCACCAAGATAGCCACCGATGGATCAACCTCCATTCCTCAGGTTAGGTTTCTATGCTAGCCTTAATTCCATGTTTAGTTCATTGGGGAAAAATATTTTAATCTATTTGTTATTTCAAAATTCTGCTAATTTGACAAAAGAAAAGATTTATGGAATAATCTTTGGGGTCTTTAGGTTCATTGTTATATTGTAGTCTCTTTATTCCTGCATTTGTTCAGCATTATTAAAGAGTTATATGGGCATTTTCACCAAAAAAAAAGAGAGTTATATGGGCATATCTTCTTAAGGAAGGATCGTGTATTTACAGAAATAGTGGTGACCGGTCTGTCAGTCTTATGTGGATGTATGACCTTGCTGTTATTTTGTAGGGGCCTGTTACTTCACCACACTCCCCTCAGAAACAAGCTACTAGTAATGTGAAACCAAATCTTGCTACGAACCATGGTATGCCTAATAGACAAAGATCGATGAAGCGAGGCGGCAACAGCAATAGCAGTGGACCTGGTCCTGCACAACAAAACAGCTTCTCCAACCCTTCCCCAAATCTTCCACTTCCACTTCCACCACCACCACCCCCCTTTCCTGTGCTTCAGATCCCTCCAAGTACCATTCCCAATGGGGTACCAGGGGTCCCAGATCATTCTCCAAGAGATCCTTACAGGAATAATACATGGGATACAAGACCACCAGTTGGGGGTTTTGTGCCTCCGATGAATGAGCATCGGAGTCCCTCTCGTAGGGGTAATTTTGGATACCATCCACGCGGTGATGGTTCCTATCATAATAATTATGGGAGCAGGCGCGATCATGATCGCGGAAATTATGCAAATAATAGAGATGCTCATGTACACCAACAGAGGATGCCTCCAAGCCCAAGGGAATTAGTGAGGCCGCTGCCACCTAATCCTCCATTTATGGGGCCTCAGCCTTTGCGACCCTTTGCAAACCCTGTTGGATTTCCGGGTCAGTTTATTAATTCTATTATTCAATTGTGTTTCCACAAAACAGAACACAACTAATGCTCCGTCTCCTCCTTCTTAGAATTCTATTATTTTCCAACACTACAATTGGAACCCTTTCGGGGTATGCCGTTCTTCACCCATGGACCTCATCCTGCAATGTTCATCCCAATTGCAGAAACTCCCCTGTCCGATATGATAGTCAAACAAATTGATTATTACTTTAGGTAATTTACTTTGTTTGTTAACAAATCCTTTGTAGTTGAAATTACTATTCATTGCTGATTTGTTTTTGACAGTGATGATAATTTGGTGAGAGATGGATTTTTAAGGTCCAACATGGATGAACACGGTTGGGTTCCAATTACTTTGATTGCAAGCTTCCCTCGAGTAAGTTAATTGTGCTTGATTAAGCAATACTTGCAACATTTTCTTGGCAGAGCCTTTGGATATATCAAACTTGTGTTATAAGTTGGAAACAAAATTTGTTGCTAGAATTTATGTATATTCGTAATATTTAATGTACTTCTTGATTGTATGGTTGAGTAATTTTAGGCCGGTACTAGTCATTTGCTTGCAGTGGACTTTTTTGATAGATTGGTACCTTTGTGGATTTTGACTTTCATAACTGACCATGATGAGGCTTGTTACTTTACAAGCAGTAATAGAGGTTAAAATTGAAGGAAAAATATAACAGGATGATAGAACTGAAAAAAAGGGGATTTTATTGGCTGCTTACAAGAAAACATTCTGCTTTTCTTATGATAAATTGCCTAGTTTTTTGTTGGAATAAATTTTGCATCCATACTCTATGGTGCCCTTTAATACCTTGATGGCAACTCAGCTCTTCATCTCGCCGGCAAAGGATCCCAGCATTATTGAAGTAATCTGCTGCAGGTGGTGGGGAGAAATAAACAAATTGGATTTGTTTTATTTGTGTTTGGACTTATTTTTCATACTTTGCAGTTAATTGTTGGGTATTGCATGCTTAAATTTCAATTTTGTTGTTTGTAGCTTGATGAGTTGTGAGGTATTTGACCAGTTGTTTGTGCAAGATCTTTGTTCCTATGGAAAAAATAACTTATCATAGGTAGATGGGGTGGATAGGTATATTATAGATAGATGGATAATTCATATTTTAATCCAAATTATATTTTTGAAATATCATAGAAACACTCATTTCATTTACTGATAGAGTTGTTGTCCTTTGCCATGAAATCTCCATATGAAATATATACAATGCCATCGATATGAATAATGGAAGTGACTGGTCAGGAATGGTTATATACAACTTCCATACTTCCCTGAGCTTTAGGCATGGTATTCAAGTTTATTCTGCATCCAAATATTTTTTGAAATATCAATTATTATATATAGCTTTTTTCTCCATTTTCTGCCACAATATTGTTGTCCTTTGCTCTAAATTTCCATACCGAACATGCTTAGAGCCCTCTATATGAATGATGGAAGGAACTGGTCAGGAATGGTTATGTGCTTTACTAGGCTTTAGATATGGTGTTTAAGCGTGTTCTACATCCAAATAATTTATTATTACTATTATATTATCATTTAAGAGAAAAATTTAGAATGTGACTACAGTGGGATGAGATTTCTCTGGCTGTTTCTTTAGAATCCTAATCTGACTGAAAGCATACAAATGTGGCTGTTTCTTTTTAAAAATACTGATAGAAGTTAAAAGTTTAATTATTTTTCTTCTTTATGGCATAGATTTGATGCAGTTGAACTGAAAATGCTCCGCCTCCTCCCATCAAGACCTACAATTATCCTTACCAATATTTCATTGGCCTCATAAACAGCTTTATGCTTGAATGTAATATTATTTGTCTGTCTGTGTCCTTAAGCCAATCTCCACCTTATCCAGTTATCCTACCACCCCACAGTGCTATCCCTCTCTCTATATATATAGAAACTTTGGTGAACACGCAAGAGTTTTAACTGTTAAGATTAATCTATAGGTTGTGAAGTGATCATCGACCATTATATTGGCAATAGGTTTTCATGTACTGTCAGAAGTCAAGTCATTATTTGATGTCAGTTAAACTTTTAATAGTACAAGTATATTATTTTTGTTTTTGCTCTAAACAATATTGCTTTGCAGGTCAAAAGTTTGACAAGCAACATTGAATTGATACTGGATGCATTGAAAACTTCCACTATCGTGGAAGTGCAGGTTAAGTTCTTATTTTATTTTCTATACATATCTCCCTTCAGTTCTTTGCAATGTTAGTGACACAGTATACGAATGTTTGTGATGTATATTTCGATAGTCTGAAAGCTATTCAATTTATTATATTTCTTAACTGGTAATTTCTCTCAATCAACTCTACTACAGGGTGACAAGTTGAGGAGGTGTAATGAGTGGGTGAAGTGGCTGCCCTCTGCTAAGCTTCAGGCTGATTCTGGTTCAGTATCCCCTGGTGGATCAAGTTACAATAACCCTGCAGCTGATTTTGAAAAGATCACTTTGGACGAAGCTATGACGGATCGAGTTAATTCAGATCCTACCAAAAATGGTGATGCTACTGAAGAGTCCTTCAGTGTTTCTCAACTCCCAAATGGTGATGCTATCAATTAAAATTGAACTCCGTATATCCACCCCATAACAAAATGCTTAACCCTATCTACTATCTAGTCCTGTGTTACTCTTGATTTTAAAAGGTTGTTTTAGAGAGGATGGTAGGATAGGTTTTGGAAGTTTGATTCCCTTCTGCGGTCACGAGGTTGATTTTGGTAGCATTTTTGAGTCAAAGTAGGGAAAGAAATAAGAATTTTTCAGAATTATTATGGTCTTAAAGATAAAGAAAGAAGTTAAAGAGACATAGAAGGAATTTAGAATTTTGATTGAGTCGGATTTAATGAGTTATTGGTTTTGTATAGCTTTATATTTGCCGCGGCTGATTTATTCTATATTTTCTGGTGGGTTGTGGTGGCCCGTGTTGGGAAAGTATTTTTATCAATTTGAGCTCATTCTATGCTGCCCTAATATTTTTGCTATAGGATTGCATATTTAGGCTATAATATTGTGTGTTATGTTTGCTCTCATTAAGTAGGTGGCAGATTGTTTGATAGTTTGATGTGTGCTTTTGATCCATATTGATGGATGCTACAAAGGGAACAGTACATCATAAATGATTTTGAGTCAGAATAAATCTCTTTCTCTTCAATTGTGAAGTTGGAGAAGTAAATGTTCGTGGTGAGCGCCCAGCTCTTGAACCACCCAATCTTTGTGAAACTCCTGGATTGTGAGTCCTGCTATGAGCAGTTGTCTCCCAGAGCTCTGTTAGGTAGGATCTTTAATCAAATTTATGTCTTTTTTTATATGATTTTAGAATAGTAATATAACTTTATGATAATTAATTCTTCTAAATGTTCAAGAAATTTTTAAACCTGACATGAATTACATTTTTATTATTATAAATGTGGTAACATAAATATTTATATAATTAAACTGTAAATAGGCATTGTCTTACATTCTTTAGAATAGTTAGATAAACTTAAAAAAAAAAAAAATCTAAGAAAATATTTGTGTTTTTCTGCTGAAGATATTTCGAACTTCTGAAAAAAAAAATTTAAAAATCATTGAAAAACAGTTCAAACATATTTCTTAGATAAAATAGCCCTATTTAATTTAAATAATAATATCCTCTATATTTAATTTTTTTAATATACAATATTTTATTTTCTTATCAATTTTTCAAGTTAATCTACCGATGCAGCACTGCTCAACTCACCCACTGCCCAACTCACCACTTTGATCTCTCTACCTTTAGTCAGTATGTGCATTTGTTATAAATAATGAGTAATCACAGTGTAATTGTGAACTCATAAATCAGTTATACCTTTAGTCATGTATTTGTTATAAATAATGAGTAATCACAGTGTAATTGTGAACTCATAAATCAGTTATACGTGAACTCTTAAGACTCGTTTGTATGTATTTTTATAAATTATTTTTTTAAGGAAATTAGGGACTTCTTGTGTTTTTTTAATCATATTCAAATGAGCATTTAAATATAATTTTGAAGTTATACTTTTAAAATAAAATATAACTTCAAACATATATCTTAAATTAAAATATCAGTGTTTAAATTTAGTAATGACATATTTTAAACTCTACCACTAAATTATGTTATTATTAACCTTTTTTTTTTTTTTACTCTGTCACGGCAGCCACGCTCACCTCGACGGAAATTTTTGTATTGTTATGGGAGTACCGAATTTGATTTTTTTTTTTTTTTACTAAAAAAGGAAAAACAAATTGGAGCAATTCTTAGATAGCAAGCACTAGCTCCCGGTGCGACTTCATAAAAAGCAAAAAAAAGATAAGATCGAAGAGAATGAAACGCGCGTAGTGGTCACTATAGCGTTCCTTCTGATCCTAGAAAACGTCTGAAATCTTTATCCATGTTTTTTTTTATAATTCCTTTTAAGTCGATTTTTCCCCCCTTTTATCATGAATTTACCCACAACTATTACACCGAAAGTTTTGAGTCCATCTTGCCACCATCTTATCTGTTTTCCTTTCGTGAAGTTTTTCCGTATGCATACTTGTTTATAAAATAATGAGTGATCCTACAATTATTATGTCCTATTTAGTTACTTTTATATCGACCACAAATGTGCTGGGAAATAAATCTAGATCGATATTAAAAATAATATCGCAAGATTTATTCCAATGTAACAGAAATATCATTTGGTTATTTCTTTTATTAAAATATAGTAGAAATCAACAACATAAAAATATAAATAAAATCACGAGCAAATAATTTAGCGTGATTCACTCAAAATTAGGCCATATCCATAGGAGAGAGATTAAAATCCATTGTGAGAAAATACAAAGTATATAGTATTCGGATTATCCCAAACACGAACTTTGTATACTGTATCGTCTAGGTGGAGTTAGATATTGATATCCTCCAAGAGTCAGGGCACATCTGCCTCTCTTTAAGAATTTTGGGAGGGATTATAGATCGATATTAAAAACAATATCGCAAGATTTATTCTTATGCAGTGGAAACATCACTTGGTTATTTCTTTTATTAAAATATAGTAAGAACCGACAACATTAAAATATAAATAAAATCACAAGCATACAATTTAACGTGATTGACCCAAAATCAAGCTAAGTCCATAGGAGAGAGATTAAAATTCATTATAAAAAATTCCAGAGTATAAAATATATTACACTCGAATTATCCCAAACCCAAAAACTCTATATACAGTCTCTAAGTGAGGTTAGATATCGGTATTCCACCACCACCAAAGTCATGATAGATCCCCAATCTTTTTGAGAATTTTTGAGAGGAATTATGGATTGTCTATCAATAATTAAATGTTTATTAAAATTAATTTTAAAAATAATAATATTAAAGGAATTATTTTTAAAATAATTAAATCATATTTATAATCAATCTCTTTTTTTGTATTTATACTTCAATTTCATTACTCCGCTGTGATGTAAGGTGATAATGTGACGTGAAACTTCATGTTGCACACCAAGCATAATTCATAAACTTTATATGTGATTCATCATTGGGATTTGCATTCATCATGCAACATGACTAAAATTTTTTTCTACACACGTAATATTTTGTGAAATTCGCATTTTTTGAAGCAAAAAAAAAAAATTATGGCACGGAAAACGAATTTCTATACCATAACACAATCACTTTTCTTACAACATAACTTTTATAAAATTCTTCATTATTATGTAGAAATAATTATACACAAATCGTTCAATAAAAAGTAATATGAGAGCTAAATATAGAAAAAAATGTAAAAAAATTATGGAGGACAGACACAATTGACGGGCGAATGGGTGACATATATACGTGGTAAAAACACTACCAAAATTATGTGTGGATGGAATAAATTTTTAGTACAACATAGCATTGAATTCAGTGTATTTATCAATTTATTTTATGATAAATGAACAAAAAATATTATATTATTTAAAAAATAGATTATATGATTTTTTTTATCCACATGTGAATCAATAAATACACTAAATCTTCTATGCATACGATACACTGAAAATTTATTAGCGTGGATTATCTCACCGAAAGAGGGGGGAAAATGTATTGGTTTAATTGTGGCAGACCTCCTTCTCTGCACAAAAGTGGCCATATTGGTCGTGACCAAAAGAGCGAAAAAAAAAACTAAAGTCTAGTATGACCTGCAGAGACAAATTCTGGCTTCACAGAGAGAAAATGACGGCTTCATCACATGGTAATTGCTGGAGCCAAGACACAAACTTACCCTCACCGTATGCTTCTTCCTTAGCTCCTGAAACCCCATCCAAAGACACAAAATCCATCCAAAAAGAAGTTTTGAACCAGATAAAAGTTGATTCTCTTCGTAATTGCTCCATGGAAATGGACATGGACGCAACCCTGTTTTCCACCACCATCACTGCTTCACGAGTTTCTATGTCTACCTTACCTATTAGAATCTCAAAAGAAGACACAAATATTAAGATTTTGATTTAATAATATTTGAGAATTGTTATAGATACCCATTTAGGCTTAGCATGATTGGGCCCAGTATCACTAAACCCATAGTCTAGAATCTTCTAGAGGCACCCATGGGTTAGAGGCTCACTACTTGGATATCGCTTTTTTCCTGCATTGTTGCCTCTGTAAACTTGGGCAGCATGTCTTGTCTTAGACCAAGACATGGCTTGATGAAACATTTCATGGGACTTACCAACTCACTCTCTCATGTTAAAGAGGACTCTCCTTTCTAAATACCCCTTCACACATGGAGGAGATCTTCTTCTCCACTTTCTACTATGTTGTTACTTTGTACCTCTGCAGATCCATCTTGGCCATACACATAGGGGTGTGCATGGGTCAGGTCGGGTCAGGTTTTTGTGCCGACTCGACCCAACTTGATTTTTATAAGTCAGGTATTTCGACCCGATCCGGTTTAATTTGATCCAAGTCAGGTCTGACTTGGTTTGAATTTTTTTCAACTAGTTCAAAACCGAGTCGGGTTTGACCTGACTTGATTTCTGAAGTGGGTCTGACTTGATTTCTGAAGTGGGTCAAATCTGACCTAACTCATTTTTGACTTGGTTTCAAAACATATTTTTAATTTAATTTTTTTTTATAGTTATTGATTTATTTTTTAAACTCATGTAATTTAATTATTTATTTGTTTTAAAATATATAAATTATATAATAAATTTGATATTTGTTGAATAAATAAGGAATGTAATTTTAAGCCGGCTGCACATGTGAAGCTAAATTAGTGAAAATTAATGAAAAGTAAAGGATGAGAGAACGCTCTTCTCATCTTAAGAATGATATATTATAAAATTACATAATGTCTACTGATAGAAAATTCATAAATTCAAACCCAAATTATACAATTATTATTAGGGAAAGATCAAATAGTTTAAGGCAACTCTTGGCTAATATGTTTGTACATATATAATTTTAGTTATCAACTACAAAGAAAATATAAAATGTATAGGAATTAGATTGATAAACAACGACATATTATATAGGTAGAATGGTTGTATAGAAATTTTTCATTAACGTAATAACTGTAATTCCACACATAATGATTCAAATAAAAATTGGGCAAAGAAGTAGTTGCTAATTTGCTGAGCTCAATCGACAGCGAGCCTTCAAGATTATTATGCGAGACATTTATGAAAATTCTCAGTTACCATGCACATAAATTTTACCTTAAAAGCTACGATGTAAAAGCCATTAAAATAAAATAAAAAATGAAGGAATAGAGAGAAAGGAAATCTACTGCTTGTTATGAAATAAAGGAGGCGATGTTGGAAGGATCAGAGAGTTAAATCCATAGTCAATAACCAAGACCATTATAGCAAAACATGGCATCAATAAGATATTCAGGTATATCATACCATATGGGTTTAAATTAATCAAGAAGCTCGGGATTGAGCACAAGAAAAGTCGAGAAGCACATGAGAGATCCTCTTTGGTGGAGTGCAAGAATGTGACAGAGAGAAGAGAGAATCATAATTGTGATTTTTTTTCACATAATGGGTGTGGGTCAAGTTTTGGGTCAATGAGTCATTATTAAAACAAGTCAGGTCTAAAACTGACTCAAATAAAAGTGGGTCAGTAATTAAACTCAGTTCAAAAAAATGGGTATGTATGAGTCAGGTCAAAGTAGGACAGGGCAAGTGAACCAGTTTTTTTGCATACCCCTACATACACACACCCACCTTATGCACACCATAGGAAGCTTCACTAGTGTTTTGATCTCCATTATAAACATCTCTGATCTCTTATATCAACATATTTCGGCTTTTTGACCCTTTTATCCTTTATTAAATAAAAAATAACCACTTTGTCCCTGTTTCAAAACTATATCTCAATTTGTCTCTCTTTAATCGATTACAAAAAAAACTTAATCGATTATGTATCCTTTTTAATCGATTAAATATCGATGACCTCAATCTGCTTTCGACAATGCCATCAAACTCACATGTCAGAGTCTGTCTATATCACACTCTTCTTCTTAAACCCATTTTATTTCTTCTATATATATATATATAAAGGGACAGGTTATATTTACAAACTTTTTTGTTTACAAACTCTTACAAACTACACTATGTAGGACCGGTCCTACATTAATCACACAGTGTACGACCGGTCCTACATTAGTGTAATTGCAAAAAAAAGTTTGTAAACGGATCATGTCCCATTCCTTTGTTTTAAATCCCAAAATTGTTCGCATCGCAGTTCTTGCAGTTGCATCTGGCGATGAAGACGCGCTCCGATGCAAGGTCGTGGCTCTGATCAAAGATGACCGCATCGACGATACACTATCCGCCATTCAATCTTCTCGGACGTCGCATGATGATTTTCATTTCCTTAAGGTTCATGAATATCGATTTTTCTTTTTGGCTGAAAAACGTTAAGACGGTGTATTTTTTTTGTTAATTGAAGTTTAGATTATCCTTGGTTAGAAGAGACCATCAATCTTACTAAGCATTTATAGTAGGTTTACATATCCCTTACCATAGGTTGCCCTAGAATTGAACCCCTGTTCTGGCTTTGCAGAACAATTTGCCACTTCTGTTTCAAGTACATGTGTGAGTATTATTATTCAAAGGATTTTCCTTGTTTTTAGGTGAATTCTAGAATTATCTACCTTATTATCATGCTTCCTGCTGGGTCAATCTAATTTGAAGAAACAAGTTGTGGAACTATTCTGGTTGCAAGAAAGGTTGATTTTTTGGATACCGGATGGAAAAGGCAAGAAGCATCTTAGGAACTGGGAAATAAGGATTTAAGACAACACTTAATCGATTAAATTTTTTTTGACACTTAATCGATTAAGTCTTCCTTTTAATTGATTAAAGAAGGGCACATTGAGGTATAGTTTTTGAACAGGGATAAAATAGTTATTTTTTATTTAATAAAGGTTAAAAAGATCAAAAAGCCAACATATTTCATTCTCAACGAGACACATGTAATAGGTAAGATAGAATCTATCCCCAAATTTACTTACTTTAATATTGACCACAGATGGTCCATAATCGGCGACAGATTGATTCACCGTATAAACAGAGATAGTTGACCGTTTATAAAATAAGTAGTCTGCATTATTAATGGTTCATCACTTTTTTTTTTTTTTGGTAAATGGTTCATCACTTCAATTATGTAAGCGATTATTATTCCTTACTTTATTTTTATATTTATTTTAAATTTTATAATTATTATGTAATATATTAAATAATGCAAAGTAAGAAAAAAATTTATTAATTCGCAATCACTTAAAATCTTATGCGCAGCTTAAAGGATTGTTTATTAAAATTAAGTTTAAAAATAATAATATTAAAGGAATTGTTTTTAAAATTATTAAATCGTATTTAGAAATAATGTTTTAGAAATAAATTGAGAAAATGTTAATATATTTTGGGTGATGTAATAAATTTACTTTTAAAAAATTTATGATACACTTAAAATTAATTTTAGTAATTTAAAAAAATTAAAGATCTTACTTCTCTCAGGTTTAATTATACCCACCTTATAATTAACGTTTTACACATAACTTCACCTTTAAATAATTTTATTATTTATCTATCAAAAAATTATTTTTTATTATTTAATTATATTTAATGATAATGTGACGTGAAACTTCAAGTTGTGCACCAAGCATAATTCATAAATTTTATATGTGATAATCTGATTCGTTATTATGTATAAATAATTACACACAAATCATGCATTAAAAAGTTATATGAATGCTAAATATAGTAAAAATATAAAAAATTGAAGAGGGGTGAGTGGGTGACAGATATAAGTGGTAAAAACACTGTACCAAATTTACCAAAAACAAAAAACACTGTACCAAAAGAATGTGTTGATGGTCTCGCCAAAAGAGGAAAATAAATGTCTTGGTTTAATTGTGGTGGACCTCCTTCTCTGCACCAAAAGTGGCCATACCGGTCGTGACCAAAGAGAGTGAAAAAAAAGAAGCAGCAGCTAAAGTGTGGTGTGACCTGTAGAGACAAATTCTGGCTTCACAGAGAGAAAATGATGGCTTCATCACAGACAAACTTACCCTCACCGTGTCCTTCTTCCTTAGCTCCTAAAACCCCATCCAAAGACACAAAATCCATTGAAGAAGAAGTTTGGAACCATATAAAACTTGATTCTCTTTGTAATCGCTCCATGGACATGGACGCCACCCTATCTTCCACCACCAACACCGCTTGTGCCTCAAGCAACATGATTCTTCACGAGTTTTTGGCTGGATCCCTCAACAAAGACTCATCTACAACCGTATCCACTGCCTGCAATCCTATATTGGTGGCTGATTCTACTTTGCAAACTCAACCAACTTTGCCCAACTTCAGTTCTAGACCTGTCTTTCAGAACCATAGTACTCATAACTCCTCTCTTTCTTCCTTTACAACACGCTCCTCCTGTAGCAAGAAAAGGGTTCGCCAAGATATCTATGTCGACCCCTCTGATCAACGATATAAGCGCATGATGAAGAATCGAGAATCTGCTGTTCGGTCCAAAGCGAGAAAAAAGGTAACTCTCTGGATCTTATTAATGGTGAAATGAAAACTGGTTTTTTTGTTTCTTCTTTTCATTAACTCCCCAGAAATCATTTTTTGCAGGCTTATAAAAATGCGTTGGAAATTAAACATGGCCGTTTAACGGAAGAGAATTCTCGTCTGAGAAAACAAGTGGAAGAGGTCAGCTACTTCTATTTCGTTTCTAATTTTTTTACTTTTTATTTTTTTGTTTGGGTAGGAGAGACAAGGGGTGGGGGTTAAAAGAGATTTGTGTAGTAACATATCTTAATCATCTTAATTAAGTCACTTAAGTAAAAGAAATATTTTGCTGAAGGCTATATTTATAAAAAAAATTCATTTATAAACTCTTACAATTAAATTTAAATTATTAATTTTCGTTAATTTAACTGTTAAAATTTATTAAAATTTAATAATTAATTATATGATTTAATAAATTATAATCAATTAAATTAATAAAAATCAACGATTAAAATTTAGTTATAAAAATTTATAAATATAATCTATCTTCTGTCCAAAAGAAGAAAGGTAAAGGTCAACTAAAAGGAAGTTTATCCTGTTTGTTTCTGTGACAATTTCCATGTTGTGAACTGATCTGGAATTAATTAAAGAAAGCATTTCTTAATCCTTCTTCAGTATGAAATAAAACGTGAAGAGTTTCAGCGGCTTTAATATTTTGTTAATATTTCTTTTGTTACAGTTGCAGCTCTGCTTGTCGTCCTCTGCTAAGCCTCCCAAAATGGGCACTCTGTATAGAACCTCAACATGTCCATTTTAAGAATTAAGGTGTCAGCACTTGCTCGTATGCTTTCAAGTTCGAACGTTTGAGAATAAGAGATTGAGGGGTTGTAAAGGGGTGTAACAAAGTGAGTTTTGGTACTCTGCAAGATATCTCCTTCAAGGGTCTCTTGCAAACTGAGATCGTTGCAAGCACGTTGCTTTTTTTTACCTGTTTGTCAGGGTTGTTCCTATTCATAATCTTTTTTTAAGTTGGAGTAAATTGGAAGCTACAGTGTAACGGTATTCTCCGAGTATTAATATATAACTGGTATATATTTTCATGGATTAATCAATTATTACCTGATATATTAGTGCAATATGTTAGGAATACAACAATTTAAATAAAAAATATTCTTTTTTCCAAAGTTTCCTATTGTGAAATAAGTTAATTCAAACACGATTTTAATTATTTGTATCGCAATATCATGTCAGCTAATTTGAACCACATACGTTTTATTTAGATAATTGAGTAGGACTGAGTCAAATTATATGCAATGACAGAATAAAATTACTAGTAAGAGGCCGTTTGTTATGAGATATTTTTAGGATTCTCGGAAAATTAAGAGTGGTAATTATATTTATTCATGTTTGGTACAAATTTTTTAAATTTTTTTTGAAAATCTAATTTTTTCGAGATTTTATTTTATGTGTAACTTCTTTTAAAAATACCATTCAGGAATATCATTTAGGGGATGATATTCTAGGATTTTTATAATAAAAAAATTTAATACAACTAAACACAACATTAAAAAAATTAATGCAGTATTTTCAAAAATATTTTAATCTACCGAACACCTTTTTGGTAAAATTTTCAAAAAATTCATATTTTTTGGAAATCATAATTCTCGGGTAAAAAAAATTTCCTCTATCAAACGCTCTCTAATAGAATTCTCATTTTATTTTATTTTATTTTATCTTATTTTAAACAATTCAAACAATATCAGTTAATTTTGTTTTACTAAATTCCAATTTGTTCGTTCCATCGAGATTTTCAACAACACTGTCACGACCTTAGCATTTTGTCTTGACTTTCTGGATTGGTCTCTGTCACTCTGACTATAGCTCAGATGGTGACACGAATTCTTATCCAGTTCTACCCCACAGATCGCTGGAGGTGGCAAAGTGGGTAGCTCGCTCTGCCCCGTCCCATTTCACTTCGTCATTAATCCGTCAAAAAATGAGTCAGGCCGCCCCGTCCTGTTTGGCGGGTAGGGTGGGTTAGCCCGCCAGTCCAAACCTATTTTACACTGACCCGCCTTGATCCGCCTATGTCCGTCATCAACCCGCCAAAAAATGAGTCCGTCCCGCTTTTGAGATTAGTTGAAAAACTCAACCCGTCCCACCCCGTTTGACAGGTTGAACGAGTTGGCCCGCCGAGCCAAACCCGTTTTGCCGGCTCTAGAGCTCACAAGCTCATTTTAGAAGATATTTCCCCACGATTGTTATACACGTTTATGATAACAAATTGGTGAATTTAGGGAATAATTCAGGGACACCTTTCTCCCGCAACTATTAGGAATAATGTAGATGTGAGCAATTTGGGCAATCTGGGAAGTGGGAACGCTTAGTGTTGGGTGGGGACAGTGGCTTTCATTTGCCGCGATGAATTAAAGAGTCTTACTCCAATCATCCAGTTACTCTTTTGGGCAAAATATTAAATTGCATAAGCTCCATCCCTTTTGGGATGTGCTTCATGAAAGATTCTTCCCGAAGGCATGAATTCGGGCACTCTCAACAAATTGTTTATAAGCGTGTAGATACTCTTACACAACTTATAGATGAGCACCACGTGGAATAGTTCACTCCACCATCTGTTGGTTCCCACTTCCCTACGTCAGTGATTTTTGTTCTCTTTTCTTCCCATTTTCTTTCTCCCTACTTTCCACTTCACCATGATAACATCTAAAGAAAAAGACAAAGAAACAAAAGGACAAATTAGAAAGAAACAGAATCGCGTATGAAAATTATTTTGTTCTTTCGTTTCCATGCCAACCAAAAAAATATATATTTTTGTTTTCCCATATGTAGACAAAAGTCAATTACATTTTAATATATTATTTTCATATATCGCGTAATTGAATAGCTTGAAATACATTCTATTTGAAAGCCATCAAACTAGGAATTAAAAATAGTCATCTTATTTTGAATCATTATTTTTTGTTATTATTTCGTAAAATTTTCATTCCATCTACCCAACATGATATTAGTTTAAGAAAGAACCTTAAGTAGATTAAATGCAGGACAATATTAGTACACTCTTTTACTTAACATATGTCACGTTATATGTTGTGAATTTTTTTATAAGATCGTGAATTATCATTACATCCTTGTAATATGAAACTATCGAAATGTGATTCATTATTGTCTCTAAATAATTATTATACAAATTAGACATTAAACATTAAATGTGGTGATTAAAGTTAAAACCAATAACATATTTGGCGTGTGAAAGATTCAACGTATGGTACAAAAACAGTGTATACGAAAAAGATATTTCCTAACCAGTGTCGGTAGTTATTGATTTAGAAATTGAAAAATTAAAAAGCTCTTAAACTTTTTTTCTTAAAATTTTAAAAATAATACGGAGAATTAAATGTTTCTTAGCGATCTCTCATATATTATTTAATATAATCATGTTAGATTATGTTTTCAGAATTTTAATCATTATAAATAAATTAATAATATAATTTTATTGCTCCTTATTTTAATATTTTTTTCTTATCTTATTCTCCACCTCCATTAATGATTAGCATCCTCCCCAGAACTAGAACACGGTCATGGTCATGTTAATTAATCCATTGCAAGTACAAATTGTCCAAGCGATTTAACCGTGGTGGGTTGTCATCTCCAAATCTGGTGATAACACAGACAGTAACAGAATATACTAGAGTATGCCGTGACCTGCAGGGGAAAGAATCATGGCATCATCGTCATGCAATTGCTTGAGCCATGTAACAAACTCTCCCTCCCCATGTCCTTCCTCGTCATCCAATAAAAAATCCATGGAACAAGTTTGGAAGGATATTAAACTTGCCTCTCTTTGTAATTGCTCCACGAAATACAGTCATCACTCTTTCCTTTCTTCCTTTCACACTTTGAAATCTTCTATGACCACGAGCCCCTATGATGCCAAGAAAAGTGTCCAACCACATATCTATGATTCACCTGATCAACGCCATAAGCGCCTGATCAAGAATAGAGAGTCTGCTGCTCGGTCCAGAGCGAGGAAACAGGAAACTCTCTTTCTTCACTTTCTTGATCTTTTCAATGATGAAACATGCTCCTTTTCCTTTCTTCTTGTTTATTAACTACCACAAAACAATTTCTGCAGGTTTATACAAATGAGTTGGAAAATAAAATTTCCTGTTTAATAGAAGAGAATTCTAGACTCAGAAGACATGTAGAAGAGGTCAGCCACTTCTCTCTTTTTTTTTTCTTCTTGTGTTTTTTTTTTTTTTTAAACATTAATTTGGGATTGTTAGGTGATTGGTGTTTACATATGATCATAGTTTAAGTAAAGGGGAAGGTCTGCCAAAAAAAGAAAGAAAAAGTTCAACTCGAAGCATCCTTTTCTGTTTTTAGGTTCAATTTTCGAGTAATTGCAAACTGAACAGGAATTCAATTAGTTAATAAAGCACACCTTAATACTCAGAATGAAAGAAAATATAAAGAGTTTAAGCGGCTTTAATTTCTCAATTTATTTTAGGTGACGTTTCATTTGTTACAGTTACAATTACTCTTGAAGACCTCTGCTAATCCTTCCAAAATGAGCACTCTCTGTAGAACCTCAACATCTCCATTATGAGAACTGAGAAGTAAGTTAAGTGGCATTCAAAAGTTGCAACCCATTTGTTGTATGCTTCTAATTTCGACGTTTGAGATAAGAAACAGAGGAGTTGCTAAAGGGGGTTAAAGTGAAACATTTCCAATTCAGGGTTTATGTGTGAAAAGGGGTAAAAGTAGATACAGACAGATCCAAGCCGCTAACGCTATACCAGGACGACACGGGTAGTTGTTTCATTTATATTTTCTTTTTAATAATTTCTCCTTTTCTTTCAAGGAAAGATAATCTTATCCTCGAACCTTTCCTTTCGCTTTATTTTCCCATCCTTTGATTTGATGTAATGTTTTAAAAGTTGAAATGAGTTATCAGTTGAATTAAAAAATGGTTTTATTTTTTATTTGAGCATTATTTAGTTTACATTATGGTTTAGAAAATTTATCGGTCTAATTTTTAAAATATTTTTTTTTAAATGAATAAATGAAAGATAAGAAATAAAATATTTAGTTATAGTGGCCGAAAATATTAGAAAAAATATTGAAATGATTTGGACATATTATTTAAAGAGCCCTAGGAATTAGGATACCAAAAAAAAAAAAAAAAAAGAGCCCTGAATGTTTAAAACGGGAATTTATTACTAACAGACGCAAAGGGAAGAAGAGATCAAACGAAATTAACTTCGAGAAAAGTAATAAAATAAAATTTAATAGAGTGATAAATAGATGGACAAATAATGTCTTAGGACCAAAAATAGATAAAAGTTATTAGGAGAGGGGTAGATAGTTTTTTTTTTCCTTATGTTCCACACAATTTTTTTAATTTCTTTTCTTAATATTTGTTTATTTATTTATTTATTTTGCATTCTAATTTATTTTTATATTTTATTTTTTATTATGTTATTATTATTTTCCTTTCTCTTAATTTTTATTATCTTTTATTTGAATTTGTCGACTGCAGATACCAATTAATTTGAGATAACAATATTGTTGACGTCGATGTTATTTTATGTCACTACACATTATCTTTCTTCGACAATGTCTCTTACAAAAAATTTCTCGGTGCTAATTTGTCGGTTCTCCTCTGGCGTACCCAAAATTAATGGCTGTAAATGAGTAACCTTTGGTCAATTTCTTACACTAATTGCCCACTTACGTCAGCTCAACCAATGATTGAAGAAAACAAGTGATAATTGGCTGTGGGCCTGTGGCATTCCCTCTTCCAGTATCAGATTGCACTTAATAGTAAAAATTGATATTTGAAAATTGAGATTGAGTTTAGAAATTTAAACCAAATATAAATATAGAAAATCAAAATATGAAAAATTAAGTTTGGCATGATAAGAAAACTTTTACTTTGAGCTCAAAGTCAAATATTTTTTTAAAAAATAGTTATAGATGATGATTCATTTGAAGTTTTGTAAGGTATTGTTTTTAAAAAAACTATAATTGTGAAAAGATAACATTCTCATAAGATTGTTGCATGAATTTAAAAAATTATTTATATAATAAATTTTTTAGAAAATTAA